GAAAAAATATTGAATATTCTTATTAAAACTTGAGCCAAATGACACTGTCTTAACCTCATGGCCAACTGACAGCTGTCAGATATGTTATTTGACAAATTACCAAATTTGACATTCGGTCGATGTAAATACGGTACACCATTTGAACGAGAACCAGTACTTTTAAACTTGAATGGAGCATTCTTCTTCCATCTCTTACCAAAATGTCTAACAATTCAACGAAGAATGTAAGTTATTAGCAAATGCTTTTACCGATGAGAAAGTTAACCCTAAAACCGTCCTTCTGCAAACCACCTTCGTCTTTGGGGGCACTCAGTGCCCGTAGTGTAATTTGTATGAAAAAATTAAAAAAATTGAAAAAAAATTTGGAATTTTTTCGATATTTTGAGAAATCTTGTGTCTAATCGTAAACTAAAGACATGAATGTGCGCATCGGGTCGGCAGCTACGTTTTGTATACTGTGCTGACAAAATAAGTTAATATTGGCTGAACAAATTTTTCCTAAATTGTATCACTTCGTCTTTGGGGCACTCCGTGCCCGTTAGTGTATTTTGTATGAAAAAATGGAAGTTTTTTAATTTTTTATTTTGAATTTTCTCGATATTTTGAGAAATATTGTGTCATTTCGTAAACTAAAGACATTAATGTACGCAGCAGATCGGCACCTACGTTTTGTTTACTGTGCTGACAAAATAAAAAGAAAAAATTGGCTGAACAAATTTTTGCGGTGCCTATGAATTGGACCAGTTTCATTTGCAAAATGGCATTTTACACTGTTTGCCTTTAAGTTTTCTCTGTTAAATTTATCTGAGTATGAGAATTCACATATAAATGAATAAAAAAAATGAATTGAACACGAGACATGTTTGTTGTGTATATGTAAAAGTAAATCAAAGCAATTCAATGCAAAACACCATTTCGGCAGAATTTGCTTATAATAAATTATTATTCTTATTTGAATGTCACACGGAACACCGAACAACGTAACAATTGTATATATGTTTGTATATGAGAAAAATCGATTCATTCGTGCACAACCCTTTTTTTACAATTCAGCAATTTTCCCATACAAAATATATGAAAATATACGTCGGGCACTGAGTGCCCCAAAGACGAAATGACCATCCTTTTTTTCCGGCCATTTTTTCGAAAACCATGGCGTGAATAGATGCATATTTTATATTTTTGAGTACGAACAGAGGCCGACAACACGAAAAGAATCGGGGTTTAGTGATGTTTGATGAAAAAAATTGATTAAATTTAGTTTGAAATTTTGCTTGATGGACGGTTTTAGGGTTAAATTTGGTGAAGAAAATCTCCAGAAAAGTTTGACATTTTTCATACAATACCTTTGTGTTTCGCCAAGAAAAACAGATAATGGCAACAAATATTATATCTTGATGAAAAGAAAATTGGGAAAAAAGTCTTCAATATTTGAGTGTTTTTAGCGCTATGTATTGATTGCTTCGAAATATACAATATTTTGTTTTGTTTTGTTTTTACAAATATGACGGATTTCAACACAATTGCAAGGTTCATTAAATTGATTGTTTATATCGAATGGTTGCTGACTACTGTATCCCAAGTCCACGAGGGGTCCCTGGAAAAATCCATGGGGGTCCCTGACGAAGTCAACAATTTGTCGGAAATGAGGATAGAATCGTTTTTTTTTTGCTCTTCACTTTTTTGACGAAAACCCCTAGCCAATCGAAAGAATTTTCTCGGCCAAAAAAAGTGAAGATAAAAAAAAACGATTTTATGCTCATTTCCAAAATTGTTGAGGGTTCCTAAAATTATTTTATAGGGGGGTAATTCGAACCCTAGGAACCCTCGTCATCACCTATGCTACTATGCCATGCATTTACAAAAAAGATGATTTAACCGCACGTTTGTGAACTTGCCCAATTTTATGGATTTTTGACACATTGTATTTTGAATTGAGCTAAAATAACATTGGTATATGCACAAAAAATGTTTGAAATATTAAAAACAATGCGTCGCAGTATTGTATTGATGGTTATTATGATTTGGAAAATAAATTTTTAAGTCTTAATTCCGAAGTTTGAGCATTCTTAATACGAATTTCAAAATACATAATTTCATTATCAAAACATTTTACTACAGCATATATAATTGAAAATGTTGTAGTATTCAGATGATTATATTTTCGCGTAATATTGATTTGTCTAGTTTTGGATAACTGAAAACAAAAATTATTTTAAATAATATTTGAAAGCGCATTGTGTTTAATATTTTTAGCATTATTTGTGTATTTGTTTGAACATTAACCGGAAAGAATTCAGTTAGATTAATCGAAATGCTATATATGTTACACACTAATTTTTTTTCTATTTTATTTCCATTGCATTACGATGTGTTAAAAGAAACTTTTATTACAAGGATGAAGAGTTAGATCATCACGGGTCCAGGTGCCCACTTCTAAAGTTCGTGCATTTTTCTTAATCAGAGTAATCGACTGCGTGTCAACTTTACAATGCACGATGTAGCCCGGAGAAATAGATGACCTTGTCTTTAAAGTTTTTTTTTGTTTAAATAAGTCATTGTTTGGTTTGCAAAAATGCGTGCAAAACATCTCAATTCTTCAACTAGCCATACAATAAATAGAATTCTATATAAATAATGAAGAAGGCAAACTGTGTTTCAAATATTGTGTGTGTATGTATGTAAGTATGTATTAATTTTTTTCTTCGTTTATTCTTTTTTTTTATTTTTTTAGATAGTTTAAATGTATTAATTGCTAGTTAATTTCACAGATAAATTCCAATTCCATGTGTCATTCTAGTTTGGACTTAAATAATTAACATAAAACTTTAACAGGTGTCATCACATTAAGATGATTGATTCAATATTGAGCACTTAGAAACAATTTAGATTCACCGTATTCGGCTCCTACGAAAGAATTAACTTGATTTTGAGAATATATTTGTAACAAAGATCACGATAACGAAAATACGATAGAGAAAATATTTTGTTTGTATTATCTAAATATTGTTTTTTTTTTTAGTTTTTGTTGTAAACGTTTTTGTCTTTTGTTTTTTTTTTTGTTGTTGTTGTTATATGTCATGTGCTGTCACTAATTGAAGAGAATTATGAATACATATTTTATTTGTGACAAGGCTTTTATTTTAATCTTTTATATAGATGACTATTCTGCTACTACGTATTCATTTCCATATTCTATCAGTGATATAATCTAGATTTGCACTTCACTTTGATGGGGTCAAAAATAAATCTCTTCTTCTTTTGTATTTTGTACAGACGTACAAAAATCCTATAAATAAAAGAAATAAAAAATATTTATTAAATTTATTCAATTTCGATTCACTTCGGGAACTCCGATTGAGGTTAAATTACTTGTGTATTCTTATTTGAGGTGGTGGTTTCTTGCGGCTTTTGCCGTGTATAATTATTGCCAATTGACGACGATGGTGTATCACTGATGTTGCGTTGCATTTGTTGAGTTATCGATGAGCTTGGAGATATTGCTGAAGATGATGCCTGCGATGATGGAGATGAATGGTATTGCTGACCAATACGTTTATATATTGACTGTTGTTCATGCTCTGTTGAGCCACTTGAGTGATTCGATTTCAAATCGTATCCATCAGAGCTGCGAAGTCGATAGCGATCAGGCAATTTGGGATATGTGTTTGTACTTTTTCAAAATGAACATTGAATTGGTATTAATTATTCAATATTATACTATATCTATTGAAAATATCGAGAGGAGAGTATGTTTTTATTCAGACATCACTCAGCCATAAGCGCTGAATAACATACTCTCTTCTCGATATATTTAATAGATATGTAGTGTAAAGTGTAGATGCCTACCGTGTTGCTGGATTGCCGCTTGGTGTCATATTAAACTGTTGAATGATTGCGGGACTACTACCAGTTCGTGAATGATTTGGAGTTATTACTTGGCTTTGCTGGAAAAATAAATGTAATCCAATCAATTTACCATACCACCATATTTGATCAAACACTCAATTGTTTAATAACTTGTGTTTTGTGCATTTTTAAAAAAAAAAAAGGTACCAAAGTGAATCAATTTGCACAATATCATAAACAGTTAGACTTACTTTTTTATCAGCTAATTTTAGTGGTAATAATTGTGTAACCCCGATATTGGGAGGTGATGCAAGTGAATTAGTTGATACGGATTTTTCAGACTTGGTGCTAAAGAAGAGAGAGAGAGAGAGAGAGTAAAATGAAAACAGAACAAAACATGATGAAAACAAAGAAGTGAAAAAAAAAAGACAATGTGATGTAGATAAAAGAATGTGAAGATTCGTTAGATGTGATTGATGGTGAATGTGAATAAATATAAATGTAGAACATATTTACCTTGAGTTTGAATTTGATGATAGCTTTAAAGGTAGCTGTTGTTTTATGTTTGACTGGTTGATTTTCGATGCGTTTGTCGCGCTATGTAAGTGAACGGGTGGCGTCTTCGATACTAATGATTCATTCATTATATAAAAAATATATATTGTTAACATTGGGTTGAAATTCATTTTTTTTTTTTTAATTTATTGAATGTAACCAGTCTATGTATTTCGGATGGATATCCATTCGAGATATTTTAGCATATCTGGATATTCAAAGCAACCGCACAGCGCCAGAGCGACGTATATGTGTATCAAGTGTCGCACGTACACAGTCACACTGTGTCTGTATTTTACGTGTAGCGACATACCGTAGATTATATGTGCGACGCACACAGCTCTGGCTCTGTGCAGTTGCGTTAAATATCCAGATATTCTAAAATATCTCGGATGGATATCCATCCGAAATACATAGACTGAATGTAACACATAAATTCATGCAATCCGAAGGGGAACGTCGTAAATATCAAACGAATTGTATTTCATTGCAAAATTCAGTAAACCAAAGAAATGTTTTAAAATTTGAAATTCAACTTTTCTCACAGTACAACCAGAGAGTAGAAAACACTACCGCTATAGTAATACTTATATAAACAGTGACTATCAATAGTTACTAATTGTACACATTTTTATTGTGTGACCACAACAATTACTGCAGGGCTGTTATTTTCACTCTGTCAGTGCACGCACACAGTAGTGTGCACACTCACACTCAATGTGCGTCGCACACAGTGCTTGTATTTTGAATGTGCACGCACACTTAGTTACAAATTTGCCAACCGCCAAAAATGTCAAACTTGTGACTAAGTGTGCGCGCACATGCAAAATACAAGCATTGTGTGCGACGCACATAGAATGTGAGTGTGCACACTACTGTGTGCGTGCACTGACAGAGTGAAAATTACAGCCCTGAATTACTGCGAACTCTAATTTGTACAAATGGTAACTATTGATAGGCACTGTTAATATGAGCGTATTAGTATAGCGGCAGTGTTTTCTACTCTTTGAGTACAAATGTTAAATGAAAAAAAAAATCACAATTGATAGCCTGATAGTAAAACCAACACTTAATTTTCTTATGCGTAAAAATAGCATGTATTTTTGTTTGGAGTAAAACAATATAACATATCATAATCGAGAGCAAAAGTTCAACACACAAAGTTGAGAGCAAAACCACGACATACTCAATTTTCTGTATCAACTGGTTCAATCAGAATGAAAAAAATCGCATTCCATATCATCTAAATCACGGTCTGGACTTTTTTCACTGTTTGAGTGCTCTATACCGAGTCTCCGAGAGTTTCATATAAACTTGCTATGTGATGCCTATTGAATAGTAAGCGAATACCAGTCTTGATTGAATCAATAGGCGTCATTTGGCTATTGCAAGGCGAGTTTATATGAAACTCTCGGAGACTCGGTATAAAGCACAAAAAGTGAAAGAAAACTTTTTTTTTTCTAAATTCTCGAACACAACTAAATGGTTTATTTTATTTGGTGTGATCAGAACGTAGGAATTTGCTATCTCTTTCACCCAAATCATTGTTCAATGCTATCTCGCTCGCACTGCATGTATAATTGTTTACAACGGACATTTTATCAACACACAACTCACACTTATATTTTGCTTCGCAATAAAATTATTAACAATGTATTTGGTCATCGCTTTGAGTTTTGTGTCGATGACTTTTATTGCGCAGCAAAATATAAGTGCGAGTTGTGTGTGAATAGAATGTCCATTGTAAACATTTATAGATGCAAGGGTAAGCGTGATAGCGTGAGACAACGACTTGCCATTTGCCAAGCAGGATTTGAGTGAAAGAGAGAGCAAAGTTTTCACAGCAAATGATATAGAGCATTTAGTGGTGTTCGAGAATTTAGAAAAAAAAAGTTTTCTTTCACTTTTTGTGCTTTATACCGAGTCTCCGAGAGTTTCATATAAACTCGCCTTGCAATAGCCAAATGACGCCTATTGATTCAATCACAATTGGTATTCGCTTACTTTTCAATAGATATCACATAGCAAGTTTATATGAAACTCTCGGAGACTCGGTATAGAGCACTCAAACAGTGAAAAAAGTCCAGATCGTGATTTAGATGATATGGAATGCGATTTTTTTCATTCTGATTGAACCAGGTGATACAGAAAATTGAGTAGTATTTGTAAATCGAAGAAAAAAAAATTAATTATTTTTTTCATTTTTCGCCATTTTTTACTATTTACATGGGAGGCTTGTATGAAACACACGAAAGACCGCTGGAATGACACTGTCGTATCACACGCGTATAAAAAAATCAATTTTTTCGGCGTAAAAACAAGATCCCGATTGTTGCGAGGAAAAAAAACTATAGACAAAATTGAGAGCAAAAACACGACATACCCAGCCTGCGGGCAAAAACAAGTAATCGATTTATTGTGTTTTTGCCCTCAGTTTTTTACAAACTCTTTTTGTTCTAAAATTTGAAAGTTCTCTATATACGCTGAAGAATTTGCATCATGTTTTTACGCTCAAGTTCTTCCATTTCGGTTTTACTTTTAGGCTGTGAATTGATAAACAGTAACTGCAATCCAAAATGCATTTTCTACAGCATGATCCAATAACAACAAATGGCTTTATTAAATAATAATGTATGCCGATCTCAAGCGGAATAAAAATTACAAAGAAAATTGAAAAATTAGCAGAACTGTTATTCGCACCGGAAAAGTACGGCGACTCTCTAGTACACGCACTTATTCCGTATAATTTTTCAAGTGTCGCATCCGAATATACATATGAAAAAGAAGCAGTTACAAGGAAAGTTGTCGCACTTTTGCGGTGCCCAAACAGGTCTGTTAAATGGATGGCAGATATGTATCCATTTATGGCTAATAAATAAGATAATTTTCATCAAAAAATTCTAAGATGTATGATACCACACAAATGAGTAAGAAACTATTATTGACGTTTTTGTACTATCATGATAAGGATGATGGTTCTAAAAAAATAAATCAAGTATTATCTTAAATTTTTAAATTTACTTTTTTTACTGGATGTGACATGGTAAGTATACAATTCTATGGATTTGTATTAGAGATTTGTGTCGAAGTTCGGAGAATTCGTAAATACTCTATTCTAACAAAGCATGCGCTAAAATGGGCGAACGGAGCCAAGGAATAGATTTTTTCTTCATTGCAAATGTTGTGCAAATCTAACTGGGTGCAAAAGCGGTGCACAAATAAAAAATATATATATATATATTTATAAGTCATATATTTCATGTCACACAAATGGAAAATGTATGTAAAATCAAACCGATAAAAAAAAGATACAAAAACAAAATATTGAAATGATTTATACCAAGATTCACAAGTTCTTTTGAAGATAAAAACAAAACCATAAAAAACTTCGTGAAAGTGATTCAAATTCAAACAGTAATTGAAAATGGAATTTGTTATAAGTGATATTTTACCTCTGGATTGAAAATAAACAATTATCTTTGGTATTAAATTGGACTATAGTTCAGATTTTTGTTCAATCATAGCTCCAAATTGATCGTTTGTTTTGTGTTTATAATTCGTCTTAATTTGAAATTGGTGGTTAATCATAGTTTTGCATTTAGTCTTTCGGTTTCTTTATTTTAAACGAAATTCGTCTCACAACAGACGATCGTAAATCTATTTGATGAATAGACAAATAAAAATGGAACTTGATTTACTGCATTTTTCTGCGATAATTAAATTTGGTTATTTGTTTCGTATTTTTGTATGTTCGATATATTAATTAATTAGGCTTAATTCGTTCAATCAATTAGAAAAATGAAACGAATGAATTATCTTATGGGGGAAGGAATTCGTACAGATTTCATTTAAACAGCGTTAGAATATGCGTTTTTTCTTTCTTTGTAGAAACAGAGAGAGAGAAAGAGATAGAATTCTATCTCAATAATATAAATTTTTTTTATGATAAGAAACATTAAACTTACTGCTGGCTGATCGCCATTTGTCTTTGCGTCGATGTTCAGCACTCAAACTATTTGAACCGCCCAAGTCGGTATGATCATCGACCGTTAAATTACTACAGCTAGCTCCAATATTACTATGCGGTGTCTGATGTCCAGCATCATCACTGCTGCTACAAACAATTGAGGTGGGTGATAAAGCCACATTGGACGACGATAGAATGCCTTGATTCGATAAAATTTGCATTTTCTTGTGTATTTCGTCACGTTGCTTCTCAATGTCGATTTGCTCATTGCGAACTTTTGTTTTCTGCGATTCTAAATCACTTCTCTGATCGTATAAATCTCTTTCTTCTTGTTCTTTTCTTTTAAGCCATTCGGTTTTCTCTTCTTGTAATTTATCTTGCAAGTTGCGCAACTCCTCCAATTGATCATTGTGGCGATACATTGATTTTGGATTTTCACGATGTGCATTCAACTGTGAATTTAAGCTAGCAATTGTAGTCATTTGTTGATTTACAATGGCCAATATGCCATATAAATGATGCGATGCTTGCAATGCCTCATAATTAATGTCTTTTTGAACCGAACTAAAATGGAATCATTTAAAATAGAAATAAAAAAGCATTTTATTGTGAAAACAGAACACATACCTGTTGCCATTGTTTGGATTTGTATTTATGCCAAGCGTGGTGTTTGAATTAGACGATGTAATTGATGTGTCAGTCTCACCCCATGAACATGAGTCTCGTTTTTCCTGATTGTCCCTATTATGTAAATTTATTGTCGTATTACTTATAGTTGAAATGATTGAATCATGCCAATTTCCCGGTGGATTTGTTGAAAGCTGATTTGCCGGTGGATGATAGTGATGAAGATGGTGCTGTTGTTGTTTTTGTCGACGTTCATCGAAGCCACCAAATCTATTATTCAATTCACATTCAAAATTCAATGAAAATCCACAACCGTTAAAATGTCATTATTTCACATTGTACTTACGTTTCGGCTCGTGTGGGCAACTTTGGTGATTGGTATTGGTCACTGTGACGTTCGCCAACTGAACTAAATGAACGTGACGGCAATTCATAGCCCGTTGCCGCTTTGTGCAAGTTTGATGCCAACTGGCTAATTTCTTGTATGGTATGAAATATCCGTCTGCATATCTCAACATTATCACAGTTATCTGTAATGAGGTCTTTGTACGATCCACAACTTGTTAAAAATGCTTCAGCTGAATCCGGATCGGAGATGTTACGAGCACCAGATTCCATTAAATAAGTAGCGTGTAATCGAACTTTTTCTTCTAGTAATAGCGCTTGCTCAATATCTTTCATACGTAATTTTTCTGAAAACATATAAAAGAAAATGATTTTTCATGATTTTTCATTTGAGAACATATAACGTATTCAAAAGGCGTACGACAGCAAAAACATGCTTTAAAAATTGAACTCAAAACACTATGAGTCATGTTTGTTGATGAGGTGTGAGACACACATTTCATTCGTATTTTCATGTGTGTTTGTGCTTATACACACCTCAATACAAAACAACAACGAATGTATCAGATAAGCCGATGGTATGAACGGAACAATTATCTTCGCACTTCGATTGCGACAACAGATAATTGTATGCTTATCGGATAAGATAAGAATTATTGTTGAAAATGATCAAATACAACAAGAGTGAATCTATGTGAATCATGCAGTGATGTTTGCTAGACTCTAATTAACCATGAATTGAAACAAACTTCAACTTGTTCGTGTAATAAAATTCATACAAAAAAACTAGTTGAAAAACATAAAATCACATCACAAAAGCAAATGAAGTGCACAATGTGTTAAAAGTGTTAAAAATGCGTTCCATTCATATAGTGTCTTTGGCACTTATATTCCATATGTATGTGGCAGATGTGCTTCAAGAACCAACTCAACGTTGTCCAAGAATGTGCATTTGTAATCTTTATATGGGACTTAACATGGCTAACTGCAGGTTAGTTGTTTTTTTTTTACGCCGAAAAAGAATTCACACAAATTTCTTTGCATTTTTTGTTCTTCAGTGGTGAACATTTGATCAGTGCCAATATAGAAATGTCCTCTTCAGTTGAATTTCTTGATTTGACTAATAATGACATCACAACAATTGAAAATAATTGTTTCAAGGTAAATCATACTAATAACCGCAATACAAATAATCATTTCTGATCAATCATCTCTTTGATTTTGCTTTTAAGGATTTACGACATCTGGAATCCGTGCTATTGAATCATAATTCCATAAGTTTTATTGAATTGGATGCATTTTCGCAATTGACAAAATTGAAAAATGTCGATTTGTCCCACAATCGACTGGAATCGTTTGATAGTCGCATTTTTGAGCAAAATTTGTATTTTACCAAAGTTGATTTATCCGGAAATAAATTCATGCATTTACCCAATGCTCCGATTTTAAGAAGCGCTTCATTAGAGGTTACAAATACAGAATAAAAATTTCTTTAAAGTGTTATTTCAATAAGCAATGGATAATATTTTTGTCACATAAAATTAGATACTGGATTTGCACAATTCGCAATTAACACATTTGCACGTAAACTACTTTGGCGAGTTGCCAAACATTAGGTATATGGATTTATCGGAGAACTTATTAATTGTTTTGAATTTGGCTGCATTCGCAATCAATAATCGTCTTCGTGACGTTAATCTAAAGAGAAATCGAATGAAATGCGACGAACAAACCGAAATGTCTATCATTTGGATGGAACGAAACCATGTTAGTGTTTCAATTGAAAATTGTCGTAAGTTAGACCATTAAATAGAAGAAGAACATCGAAATAAAAGTGTTTCTCTCTATCCATAGCAAAACAAGATATAAAAGATGTTCCACCCTTGAAATTTGAACGGATGCAAATGTTACCAATGTCAAACAATGTTACAAATGATTCGATTATTCCAGAAAAGACAACACCACCACCAGTGAATTTGAATAGCGTTTGGAAAATTCGAAATCATAGTAATCACAATCTACCAATACTGAATGAAAAATGCAATACCAATGAAACGACGGTGGTACATGCATGTCGCTTATTTGAAATATGCGTATCAAATTTGACAATGCTCATCGAAGAAGTTGAAGTGAAATTGCATCACGCCGATGAGCACATGAAAGAGAACGGTGCTTCAGTGAAATTAAATCCTGCATGGTATGATTTTGTTACAGTTCAAGTGGCTTTCTACGGTGGTCTATTCACTGGAACAATATTTGGTACCATCATGTTATTTACTTTAAAATTGATCTCGGACTGTGTGATGGTTTCCGATACGGACAATGGATCAAGAAGAAGAACAAGTAAGTAATGAATGTTGGTTTTAATAGTTGAAACATTTTGAATTTTGGAAACGTTGCATTTCGTTTAGGAAACCGTCAGACCAATCATACATCTGAATGTGATGAAATGACTCCATGCCATAATTCAACAGCGGAAAGGCGAACAATTTCGAACCGTCGAAGTGATACGTCGAGAGAAACGATCCAATCAAATGATCAACGCTCGCGACAATCATCCACATCATTTTTTGCTATTTTCTATGAACGACCCGTACGGCACCGCTACTATCGTCAAATCAATCGTAGTGCCACAAATTTAGTTCGACGATTAAGCCAAAGTCGACTTTTTCTAAATTCATCCAGAACCCAAAATGGAACGCTACGCGGTGTTCATACACAACGAAATCGTCAAGAGGCAACACACATAAACCGAGAAAATTCCGAACCACAAAATACGGCACACCGGATTTCTGTCAGTGTTCATTCTCTGAATATTTTGCATGATAACAGTCAACGTGAAATTGAAAATCGAACAAATGCTATTCGAATATGTTCATCGGAAAGTGATGTATTTGGTAGTACGGAACGAAGCGAAACACCTCCGCCACCATATAACATTGTTGCACATACATAACATTTACACCGCTTTTATTTTCATCTAAATTTGAATAAGTAGAGTATTTTTGTTTTTGATTTTGAATAAAAATGATGACAAACCAAAAACTACTTTGGAGGAGGTTCCATGCAGTATTATCAAAATGTTATGTCAAACTTACCTTGAAGTGGACTTCCTTCCAATGCTTTTAAATATATGAATTATTTAGCATGAATAAAAGCACAAAAGTGAAAATGTGTTTGTCATTAACTTTTCAATCGAATTTGATTAGAAGTGTTCGGAACTTTCAGATATATATATATATTTTTTTTCATATTATGTGTGTGTTTGTGTTAAATAAGCATGGTGTTTTATCTAATATATATTTGTGATGTTTTCAATTATATAACTTACCGATGAGCTCCCTAATATTAGCATGTTTTGCCTCTAAATTTTTCTGCCTTAGTTCTGCATTTGAATGGTCGTCTGGTTCTGTTTCTTCAAACGGACATTCTTGAACCGCCGCTCTATTTAACAACATCATCATCAATTAATTACCCTTGTAATTGGCAGTATTTTAATGATTTCTTACCGAATCGTTTTAATCCATTCCGTTTTGTCTTTCGGTTGTTGTACTTTAAGTTCGTACATTTCTGGATAATTGATATCAGTCGATATTATGTAAATGCTTCGCGATTCGCCAGCTTTTTCTCGTATCAATAACTTTTGCAGAGACACAACGCCAGCCTTTGTATCCGGCGCAAAAAATGTATACTTCTGATTTTGCTCTTGCAAAAATAGCAAACAATCGGTAAGTACAACAACTGTAACGGGTGTTTCAAGTGATTTGATGCGCGGCGTAACCAATGTTGCCAAACCTTCGAATCTATTAAGGATATATAAGAGATGATCATCATAAATTTTTGCATTAACGCGATTATTAATTTTTATTGTAGTATTACTTTAGTTTACGGCTCATATCCATGATATCCGATTTGCGGAATTTATTATTTTTGAACATAATCGTTGATTTAGCATCAATACGCTTGAAAATGTCTAATCGTCGATCTTCTTTGTTTCTCTCCGCCACGCACGCATTCACATCATCTAAAATCTCTTTTATTAATCGTTTGGCTTCCTCTAATTTTACGCGTTCAAATTCATCATTGCCAACTTTTTTTATTTGAGCATCGATTAAAATGGGATATTTTGTTAAACGATGTGACACCGACAATGTAAAACCATTCAGACCTTTCCGTTTGAGCAACGGATTCGACTCTTTATATTTGTACCATTCTGAAAATCGTTGATCGCCGGTTTGATAGCTTTTGATTGTGTTCAACGCTGTATTGTGGTTGGAACAGTATTCACCTATATAAGAAATTATAGACACAAATAATAAAAGTAATACACCATTTTCATCGCATTGATCAACTTACCATATGCGCTTATTAGTTTTTCCGATTGATTTGAAAAGAAATCAATCATTTGGTCGGCAATGCTATCAATCACATAACTTTTCTTCTGTTTTTGGCGCAACTTTTTTAGAAATCTATAATAATTAATGAAAAATCCATGCAATTATCTATTATTACGGTTGCTTTTCTTTAAATTGCACCCACCCCGTATGAAGATCAGTTAAATCAGCTAGACGCGGAAAGAGACGATCTCTGTTCAATTGATTGAAATGACGTTCCAGACTTTCGACAAACACTTTTTGGATCAACAATAAATTCTGGCAGTGTTGCTTCTCTGTCATTATGAACTCGTAAATGCATTCCTGACGTTCGATTAGCTGTTTGACCAAATTCATTTAAAATTATTGAAAGTATGTTTTTAACATAATGTGTATGACTTACGTTCAGATTTGAGGACCGTACCTGTTTTTCTCGAAGTGATTTTTTCACTTCATTTGGAACTGCTTGTATCCATAGATCTGGTTCATTTTCCAACATCAATCCAAGAATTGTTTCACCACCCAAGTCTTGAGCTGTTATATGCGGTTCGTGTAAGAATTCATTCGGAATCAACGGTGTCTCATCAGAATAACTAAATCAATAAAACGATTCAAACGAAGTAAAGGTAACGTTTTAGTTAAAATGTTGAACAAAAAATGGAAAATCTCATCGGGACCTCATAATTATGTTAATTTCAATGAGTTAAGCGACCGTTGCTTTCAAGCATATTACAAATAATTATTTAAATGGAATCAATAACATAACATTATCAACACAAAGTCGCATGTCCGAGGGACTTTAAAACAAATAACTTCGTCGATATCAATAAAAATGTGATGTAAGGTGTAAAAACTAAAACCGGAGCTCATCGTTGAAAGTGCTTATAGGACTTTTGTGAGACGGTGTTGCTTATGTGTTTTTGTATGAGCAAAATATGTTTTTATTCTTCAAATATCATACTGAAAAAAATATGAGTGCATTCAATGTGCTCGTAGATTTTTGAATTCGTTTGCATTAAAATTTTTAAAGTTTAGACATTGGCATGCCAGCAGTGCAGTTCACTGATTTGAAAGAAAAAAAAGACTAAAATATTTCGCCTTTTTAAATATCGTTGTAATTCTGTCTTTCAAAATACGATGACATTGTACGCATCAATTTTTTTCTGTCATGCCCTCATGTAATTTTTTTTCGATCCATATTTTCTCATTTTCTATTCTAGAAATCTCCATGGACATGCTTTTTGAAAATAAAAACGATTAGATTGAAAAGGATGGGAAAAAATAATTAAATGAAAGCCATTTATACTTACTTTGCATGATCATGATTGTGTCCATCATAATAATCACGGCCTTGGTCATCAATTTGCGAATTGTGATGACTACGAATTTGATTTTTCGATTTAATCGTGTATTGTGCGATTGTTTTATTTTAGTTTTGCGCAAGCATATGAAAAAAAATCAAAATAAAATAAAATATAATAAACTTAGAAAAAGTGAAGTATTCAAAAACTTGAATAGTATGTAGAAAGTAGACAAAATTACTCATATGGACATTGCACGCGGTTTAATTGAAACATTGAAAACTACAAGTATTTAAATTTTAATTCTAATTTGATTATCCCAAATTGAATGTGACACTTTTCGTGAGATTTTATTGAAATGAAACACAACCATCATAAAAATTGAGATGTTTTATTTGGCGTTGTTACACTTGAATGAAATCTCGGGAAAAGTCTCACACAATCATTCTCGGACAACCAGTGCCAATTCAGCTGTAAATTTAAAATTGCAAACAAAAACATTTCATAAACTCGCGACCCATCAAAGTCCATATTCATTTTTCAAAAACATTCCGAATGGGGTGCTTAACGAACATGCAAAAAGCAAGCTATCTTAATGTGCAATAACTACATAGAAAATGAAAATGAGGCCATACCGGCGAGGAATTCACGCAAAAGGAAAATTGCCAATAAAAAACCAATTGCAAAAGGCCAAAAGAAATTGCTAAATTGGGCGAGGGAGCATTAAACTGACTTGAAATCTAGTCGAAACTAAAGGAGCAACGACTTTTTTTTTACAAAGATTTGTAATTGTTATTACAACAACAGATGCATAAAAAAAAGAATTATGTTGCTTCTTTTATTTTCAGCTCGATTTCAGGTCATTTTAACTCTCAGCCATTTACTATTTTCGTATTTTTCGCAAGTTTTTCTTTTACTTAACCATTTTTTTTGCAATTATTTTTCTGTATACAATTGTTACTATTGAGTGGTTCCCAAGGGAAAGAGCCATTTCATTTATTATAAAATTCGGGGCTGAAGCCAACCGATTAAGTAAAGTATATCTCGCTAAAATCTATTAAACAAGGATGTTGAATAGAATGGTTTACTATTTCGTTGTAGGATATTCTATTTTCTATAGAATATTTTTATGTTCGAATTATAGCTGATATTGCATATCAGAATTGGCAGCAACGTTAAAGTCCTACATATTATCATAGATTTTGATTGAGGCGACGCAACAAATATTTATTTTAGGCAAATTGTTCGAAAATATGCCACTTGGAATTTGCAAGCATGGTTAACATATAGAAGTTTTTTTAAAAGCAAAACCATAAGAAAACAGTATTGTTTTATTGACATTTCATGGTGACATGTTAATGGCAGTAATGTGCGAAGGGGGGGGGGGGGTTTACCCCCCCTGTGATTTGGATGAGAAAATTTTTTTCGCGAAAATTATTCGAATTTGCTAGGGATTTTCGCCTCAAAAAGTGACTTCCAAAAAAAAAAAAAAAAAAAAACGAAAATTTGTTTGATTTGCTAGAGAATTTTTGGTTTTTGAAAAATCACCCCCCCCTGTAAAATGTAGCTCGCACATTACTGGTTAATGGATATTAAATATTTTCTATATAATAATATTTTTTTTTTATATTAATAGAATTGTGAGGATCTTGAAAATAAATTCTATCATCGAGTCAATAAAATCAAAAGTAAACCATAACGAAAATACCACAAAAATTTATGTTTAAAGGTGTTTTTATCGAAGGATGAAACAAAAACAAAATAATAAAAAACGGTATTTTCTCGAGAAATATAGTAAACAAGTGATCTCTCGATTTTCTTCATATTTTAAGTGAATTTTGTTTTGAACAGGCGTTATCAATACTATCATTTTATAGTTTTGGAACATTTTATTTCGTTGAGAGTGTTCGTTTGAAGGTTTTTAAGCAGATTAAAGCAAATATGACATGCATACAATTTCAACTTGAATACTTGATACTTAAATACAGAGTGAAATTTTATAAAGTGCCCCACGGATAATGCGACGAAAAAGAGATGACGAGATACTGGGAAATTCGAGTATTTTCGATAGAAATCTGGGTAAAAAAAGAATCATGACATTCTCTGAAGGGAAACTGTAACTTTTAAATGGTAATGAATCATTATTAATGATAATTTGCTGAAATATGTCATTGCATAAAAATGAAAAGAATGCTGTGCCATTCGAAGGCAAATTGAAATTTTGCAGATTTTCAAATTAACATCTGGTATCACATGATGGCTTATAAAATTTCCGTTGAATGCACATTATAAAATTTCCCACTGTAATATAATATTTAAAAAACAAAACAATCGAAAGATCAAACAACTCTCACTGCGTATTTATTCTGAAAATCCATTGTATTAAATTCCAAGACAACGAAAGTTCTTAAGGCCATAGTTTAAGCAATGGCTATTATACGATTTGTCGAATAAAAATATCTAAGTCTCATATACAGTATAGGGAAGAGAGTTAGAATAAAGGACAGACGAAGACATACAGGGTAGAAGATCAACAACATTGACAATAGTATTCAACCATGATGGTTGGTTGAACGATGGGGTTTGAGTGGTGGTGGTGGTTAAAGCATCGGAAAATATATAAAATAGAATGCGAATTATTGAAATATTTGGAGAATTTTCAATAGATTGTTTGTTTGATGAATAACGAATTTACAACATACAACTTATACCCCTACTTTTTATAATAGATCAATACACATTTAATTGTAAGACTGCAAGAACAGGAGATATAACAATCGACTCGGAAAAATATCAGATCCACATATCAAGTGTGGGTTTTTTGTTTAAATGTAGAAATTAGATAATAGTATAGCGGAAAGAGTAGGCAGAAAGAAAGAAAAACCAATTCAATTATACTGAGGAAATTGTGTGGAAAATGAAAATTAGCTAACAGTGTGACATTAGTATGATCATTTAACTGTGTTACAGTATTGTAAACATAAATAGAAGAAAAGTCCAACGATTCTTGATGTATTAACGTATCATTGTTTAAATAAAGAAAAAGCAAAATAAATGTTCAAACATTGAGTCTATAATTTTGATTTGAGTTTTTAGAGAAACGAAATTAACGACAAGTTGATGGCAACAAAATCAGTATTGAAATGTTAAACAAAAAGCAAATCAGAGGAAATTGTGGCCATTTTCAATTTTCATCACTAAATCGATCAATGAATTTGTACAAGTTCTAACAAATGCAAGAAAAAAAACTTAACACACTTGATGAATGGTTGAATTGTTTTTTTTTTCTCTGAAAGTCAATGAGGTATTTAGTTGGTTAAGATTGATGTGCTCATTTTCTTTCTTTTTGTTCTAAGAAAAGGGGCACATTGAATTGGCCAATTTACACTCTTTGTTTTGAATTAAAAAATAAAGAGAAAAAGAAACAGATGTAAAAAAAATCTTGTTAGAGATGCGCAAAAAGATAGAGAAGTAGAAAAGAGAAGGACAGCAGAATAAAAATGTAGCCGATACAGATAGAACGTAAAATGTATCTGTATCGATGATAACACGGATGAGATAGAGATGTAAAGAAGGGTGAATTCTCTTGCCAAATGATGAATTCTTAGCTATTTTTTTGTTGTCACTGTTGTTTTTTTTTTAAGTTTTTTTTTATTAGTTGGTTATTTGGGAAGAGTGTTACCTATGATGTGAGACCACACCTAATTTGTTTGCGACCAATTTCCAATTATTCCAAGGTGAATAACATCCTGTCATTTTCTTGCCGCTTTTTATTTCATTCGTTTTTTGCGGATACGATTGTTAATTGTTAGTTAGTTTTTTTTTGTTCAAGTTTTTGATATAACATCCGGTTTGTAAAAATTTAACACGATTTGGACGCCATTATTTGATGTCAGAATTGTCAGATAAATACGAACGAGTTTCAGAATTTGTTGTTGGTATATGGGTAAATGACATTGATTTTTTTTTATTAAGGATGTGTCCACACACAAAAAGAAAATGTTGTGTTAAATGCGAAAAAAAAGAAACACAAAATATTTAATTTTGAATTGCCATTGAACATTTTTGTTGATAAAAAGAAATTTAAACAAAACAAAAGTGTGAGAAGAAAAAAAATCGATCAAATTAAAATGTTTCTTTTATTAGCTAGCACAGAGATTTTATATAAAACGAGTTAAAGAATCAAATGAAATGAACAATTGTAAAAAGGAAGTGAAATTCCAACGAGGGGATATGATTTTCTTTTTTCAATTATTTAGGATTAAAATGCAATCGATTTTTTTATTCAAATTAAAATGGTTTGCAAATTAGCGTAGCTTCAAATGATTCTTTGGTTTGGCCTAACTAATCCGATTTGATGGAAAACTCTTTTTCAAATGGGGTTATGCTGTTATCCTCATCGATTAAGTTTTTTAAAAAAAAAACCATAGGTAGCTAGGTGGCTCGCTCAAATTTATATACACTGTACAATAGTCGATGAGTTCAACAAATTCACAAGTGCCAAAGCAACAAATAGTTACAATCAAAACAGCCAAGCCGATGATACCTCTATTAGGCACCTCTATTAGCTGCATTATAATAAATTAGCATTATTCAAAAAAATGTAAAGGGTTTCATTGCAACGGGCGCAATGCCAGACACAAAGCCAACGCAATTTACACTTTACTGATATCTCAATTTCGTTAAATTCGAATGCATTGCAGAGCAATCATCAACATGAGTGGATATAAATGTGTGCGATAATGTTTAAAATTTTACTAAAGTGCTAATATGATTTATTTATTCATTTATTTATTTTTTATCGATAAAACTCATTGATCTATCAACAAATGTTATTCGAACAACCACATATCGAATGTTTATTGGGCTAATTTGCACTTCTGTAATGCCTTTTTTAGCAAAAATAAAACTTCCATTCACCAAACTTATCTAAAAAAAATATTTTTTTTTTTTTGTTGAACCAGAATGGAAACATATTTTGCAAAAAGTAATGTCGAATCAAAGAAAACAACAAATATCAATGAATTATGTAAAATTTATAAGTCGAATAATGAGGCATTGTCATTTGTTTGGTGGGAAATGATGTAACCAATAACAAAAAATATGGTATCATTTAACCTATTTCATAAATAAATAAAATGCCAGTTTATACATATATATTTTTGAAATCAGTCAATTATTGTTCCACATACTGCAATGCACATTCAATTTCATATTAATTGTTGGTATTTTCAATTGGTCTACTCAAAACCATAATACCATTAAACCAAACGCATGACAATCAGTTGCTTTTTTATGAAATTATCAGGTATAGTGTGTGAGTGTGTGTGAGATTATGGTTCCGAAATTGTTTTAAAATTATGTTCAGAAAATGTTGAGCAAAACATTATTGAATAAATTAAAATGCAAATTTGAAAAATAAAATGAATTTTAAAAAATTAAATCAATGTGAACGAAAATTAAATAAAAAAAAAAAGAAATTTTGAGCCAAAAAATATTCGAACGGTAGAGTATCGAAATTAAATATGTAAATACCTGCTGTTTGAGGCTTTCTTGCTGGAGCTTTTGCTATTTTGTTGATTCTGCATTAATCCATGATGTTTCAATAGTATAACATGTCCAAGCATGGTGAAATTTTGTATTAATCGAATGCAAAAAGACAAAGGACACAAGTGAATAATATACATTTTAGTAATGAAACGATTTTTAATTAAATGTAATGGATTTTTTTTTTTTTTTTTGAAAAACACTGCACAAGTAATACCTTCGTCAATTTGGCCTTGCATTCCGATGTATGCTCCTTGTAAGTTGATAAATTAATTACAGCACCACAACCTGAATGAAAAACGATACATTTGATAACGAACATTTCCATTTGTATATTGGAATCTCTTACCATCGCAATTTGTTGATTGTCCTTTATTTTTCGATTTATCTTTTTTCTTGCGGAAGAATAATGATGGCCGTTTCGTTGGCTTCGCTGGATGATCATACACCTCGCTTTAAAAAAATATATATAAAGAAAATAACATTGCATCAACCTAATATTTTATCAATTCTTCTTTCTTCTTTAAAGCAATATATTTAATACGCAACTTAGATGAACTCGTAATGGCATATTTAAAAATTCGACAAAATTGCATTCATATCAATCATAAATGTCATTAAATTAAACCTTCAATAACAATCAAATATTATTATAAATGTTTTTTATAAAATCAAATATAAAATATTCTATGAAGCATTCTCATTTCTTTAAATCGAAATTGTTAATGAATTGTCAAACATGCATTTAGAACAAATTGTCATAATTTGATTGCAAAATAAAATTGAAAGCAATTAAGCATGCAAAAATAATTGATCAAAATCTCTGTTTTATCAAAAAGTGAATAATAATTAAATATAACCAGATAGGTTCTAAGATTTAACAAAAAAACTTGCAAAAACGTCATTTCATTCAAAAAATGTAAGTTATGCACCCATCTTTTCTAATAACCACACACGTCTTTAAAATATTGTCTTTTTCAATTGTTAATTAACAAATCTTTCAATCTTAAGACCCACATATTCATTACAAATAGCCAACTTTCCATAAGAAACGCATTGAGTAAATGTATTTTGATTGAAAGATTTGTAATCATTGGTAAAACAATAGAAAATAAGCGAAATACAAAATGCTCTGTATTCAATGTATATGGGCCAATGTTAAATGTTATGAAGCGTGTTCTGTTGTAAAAAATATGGTTTTAACAAATTTGCATCATCATCATCACCTAGCTAAAGGACCCTAGGTACTTACATTTTATCGCGAACACAGAGCAGTGAACGGTCATCTTGATTGTCATCTTCACTATCCGATAGGTGTCGAGATCTGTCCGTTTGTTTGTTGATTTGATTTAGTTGGTATTGATTATCGTGTGGTATGTGTGTATGTGTAATGAGAGCGGTGACAATGGGACATCAATTTCCGCGGAATAATGTTTTGATGTTGCATGTTTATACGGGTTACATTCATACAATTGATTCAATTTAGGTACGTGGTTGAGTTGTCAAGCAAATTATAAAAATAACATTGTTTCGGAAAATAAAAGAAAAGAAACACTTAAATGAAGCGAGCGAAAAATTCAATCTACTAAATTTTTTTTTATATATTCATAAAAAAATCGCATAAAAAATGTATTGAATGTGATATTTTGTTTTAAATTTTAAGTTTGAATATTAGTGTTGAGAAAATAAAACGGCAAAAATAAGTTCATTTGTTCGTTCGTTCTGGATTATGCACAATCTTCGAATATTCACCGAATAAATGTTAAAATGATCATTTTTAAAAATAAATCGTTGACAGAATAGAATTTTTTGATCAAATTTTGACAATTTATTAAATAGAATAAACTTTCATAACAAGAAAGCCAGTCTTTTACAGGGTGGGCCAGAATAAGTGTCGCTATTATATATGCTCAAAAAAAGTATTGTTTTTTTACTAAAATTGAACAAAAACTTAATTGGGATTTAGAAGAGGGTCCCAAATTTTAAATTCATGTTTTGGTTTTGATTCTTCCTCCATTTGCACGGACCACCAAACGCAAACGTCGTAAAAACGATTTACACGCGGCACGCACCATTTTGATGGGAATATCGTTCCAAATCTTTACGATTTTCTTTTTGAATGCATCCAATTTTGTAATTTTCTTAATCTTCAGATCATTTAACTTCGATTGCATGTAGCCCACTCATCTTTGTTCAAAAAATCAGTTTTCGCTTCACATCGACTGTTCCATGTTCCTTGTATCGTTTTATGGTGAGCTGAATAAATCTCAAATTGATATTGTCGCTCTGAAGCTTCCGAAAAATATCAACTTGTCGCAAACCTTTTTTGTGCAAATTCAAAACTAGTTGACTGAAACGTCAATCCATTGCTATTGTAAAGTAAACAAGAACTGCACAATACTGTGCATCGTCACAGTGGATTGCACAAACATGAATAAACATAACGGTGAACCAAAGGGTGATCGGAAAGCATTGTAGTTGAAATTACGTAGGTGCGAGAGAAAGCGACACTTATTCTGGCCCACCCTGTATACTTCAATCCTATGAAATCAACCTCCATCTCCCACTGAAAGTCACATAAGTTGATATTCGTAATGTGCATATAAATATTATTTTGTGAAAAATGTATAATTAAAAATGATTATATATTCACATTAAAAAGTAACATTAATAAATTCCGGTCTGAAAAACCCATAACGAACGAACCAAACCAAATGTCTCATTAAAATGATTGTGTAAAATACTTTGTAACGCAAATAAATAAGAAAGCATAAACCCATCATATGATGAAAGAAAAAGTATAGCAGAAATGAATATCGTAAAATCTACGCAAATATATGTGCCAATAAAAAAATCTTAAAGTATTTGTTGTGCAGATAATATAATATTAAGACGTACGCAAACGTCCATCATTTTCATCTTAATAATTAATTAGGGCATACCACAAACATCGATCAGAACAAGAAGTAAAAAAGAATGAATAAGAAAATTATCTCGAATAAATTGATAAGTGAAAGAGAATAGAAGAGATCAGTCCTGATTTGTCTCTTATTTTTGTATTTGGCCGTTCAATAAACACAGCAATTAAGACAATAAAAAGAAGAAGAAGAAATATTTGAATCGAAAGTGAATGAGTTCATTTCTGTGCATACAAAAACTACTCTACATTTTCTTTATTTGTATGGTTTCTACTGGCAATACTATCATCACACTTACGTCGGCACGGTATGCTCCTCTTTTGTGCTCTGGTTACGAGCCGGTGCTATCGATGGTGTCGATATACTTTTTTGCAATGGCATTCGATTGCACGGTATTTGTGGCACAAGATTTCGCTTCAAATTCAAACGCTCAAAATCACGCTGTTTTTTATTTGTTGTTTTTTTTTGTTTCATTGCAACGAAGAAAAAAAAATTGAAACAAAAAAATAAATGTCAAAGGGTGTGAAATTTAGCACGATGTTTAACTGAACGAATTATGAATCATTGGCTCGTACTATTTAAAGTGATAAACAAATAGCAAAACATAAACGAAAAAAAAAAAAAAAAAAAAACAAATGTTCGTGCTCTTCAATCAATCAAGCTCGATTGAAAGCATATCTAGGCTATTATTCTTTCGTTAATATAAAATGGTTTAAGTTTGAATGAAAATTGAGAAGATTGCGAAAACTATTGTCACATAATAAATGAACGAAAATAGCGAGCCAAATAATAAAAAAACAAACAAGAAAATATGAAGTTAAATTAATCCATACTGCTAATTCGGCTTCATTCAGAGAATGCGTTGAAATGCCGCCAGTGCTATTTCGACTGCTACGATTGTGCAGTCGTTCAGCTCGTAACGATTCCTGTTCTTCACTATCAAGACTCGACAGACTAACACTGCACACAAAACATAATCCAACATGAATACACACAATTTGGGCATTTTAATAATGTTGGGTTGTGGTCGTCAAATATAGGTTGGGAACACAGAATAATTAAGAGATTTTTTTTTTAATTTGTACATCGGCCAATTTTATTCCAAGTGCGTCGTGAAAGGTTTTTGTTTAAAAGAAACCGGGAAAAAAGAAAAAAGTACACATTTTTAAGTTTTTATGTAAATGAATTGACCATTTTCTATCTACAACTATCTTAAAAAAAACTATCTAATATGAGAATGAAAATATCGGAACCGAATATTAATTCGTTGGCATATGATGAAATAGGTATTGAATGAACTTTCGAGTAAGTATTGGCAAAAAAAAATGTATTGATTGAAATAGCTGGATGGAAATGTTTAAATTTGGTCGAAGTGCCGTAAGCTTCGTTTATACTGTTTTTATGCCATTGAATTACAGACCATATTTATATAGTTCATAGGCTTTTTGCTATTTCCTTTTTATAGCATATTTTTTCGCCGATCGATATGAACTCATACAGAACAAAAAAAAAAGTATGTTTCTATTGATGAACGAACTATATTTTTCGAATTTTTCTTCATTTAAATATTGAAAATCGGCTATCAAGTAAAAAATTGAGTACTTATAAGCGCATTTATTTGCTTTTTATCTCGAAAAATCATAAAAAGTCGTTTAAATGAACTTTCCTTCGTGGGATAATATGTTTTATCGCGGATGTATACAACTGAATATTGCGGTCGCTTGACTTTACAATATTTAAAGAATCGAGAACGGTATTCAATCGGTAATATTTAGCGATGATTGAAAACCATTTGAATGGTTGAGAATAATAATGAAACTTAATTTTTGTTCAAACTGAAGTGTCCCTTCGGAATATTTCCAATAAAAGTGTCCCAAGTTTGTATATAGTTTGCCATATAAACTTGGGACACTTTTATTAGATATATTTCGAAGGGACACTTCAGTTTGAACAAAAATTAAGTTTCATTATTATTCTCAAGCATTCATTTGTTGAATACAACCAAAATTAAGTTGATTATGAAACATCTTCTGATGTTCAATTTTAAATATTCGCTGAGCTTAGACTGAAATTTCAGTCACGCAACGGTGGTATGCACGAGACATCTGTCACGTTTTTCAAACAATAATCGATAATTTAATGGGTCCAATTTTGGCAATATGATTAATAAACCAATTTCGAACATAAATTGATGGGGATTCTACGAATTTTTTTTTGATTTTTATCCATTTCTTTATATAAATTCATTTATTTACACATTTGCAAATCTAAACATAGATTTAACTATGTACAAAAAAGTGGTATTTATAAGACCAATTAAAACTTTACTACACATTTATGCATAAGATATGCTCGGTCTAAAAACGTTGGCTTTCGAAATTTGATATTGGTGTTTGCAAAATATATGCAAAAAGAATGCTGAGCGAATCAAGTTTCCAAAGATTTATGATGATTTTTTACACTTGAATTTACACATATATGATTATAAATTCATAGTATTTTGTTCAAATCAAGTGCATTTTTGGCAATAAATTGATGAATATTCAATACCGGCCATTAATCTATGGGCACTATTGCAATATTTTACATGATTCGAGGCTATCAATTTTTATACTACTTCAGTTCATCTGATCCAAATGAATTTTAGCCCATGAAATGAATTTTGGACCATTGCTCCTATGCTTGGAGTAGAAAAACAGTCACTTTAGATACAAAAAAAGAAACAAAAGCATTTTCAAAATGAAGGTTGTTTGTTACTTCCAAAAACAAAATGCTCAAACCAAAATTGCCCTTAACCCAGTTATTCTTTTATCCCGAATCTTTCAGTTTTGCTAAAATTCATTTCAATCGGATCGCAAGTAGAAAATGTCAATTTTTGCAATAGTGGCTTTTAATTTAACTACTAAATAGAAACTATAATTAGGTATGCTAAGATGATTTTTAGTAGTTTCTATTGTGTTTGTATTGTTAACTGTAATTTTGATGAAAATGGACTATATGAATGAACTCATTAATGGTTATTGATAGTGACTGTGCGCACCAAGTGAAATCAAATACATTTCCGTACACCAAAAAATAAACAATACATGAAAACAAAAATGTCTCAACAACCAACTATGGCTTACCTTTTATGGGAATTTTTTCCACATTCAATGGTCAAATCTTCAATAGCCGTCCATGATTTACGGCGATCGTTATTTAGTCCGATTGTTTGTTGTGCTTGCCAAACACCATTGTTAGCAGCTGCTGTCAAATCAGGTAATGATGGACATGACGAAAACAAACGTGATGCACTCAACTGTGATGAGTTTTAGTTTTAGTTTTTTTTCCCTTCACATTAGTATTTACGAAAAACTTACCGCTGGATTTATTAAACCTGACGCCATATAATACTGATGATGATGGTGATGATGATGATTATGATGTGATGAAGATGTTGAGTTTTTCATTTGAACCACACTTTCGCGAATGTTTTGCAGATGATTTAAAGTATCCTCTATACAAATGAAACATTTACACATTAATAGCGTTGCATTAATAAAAAAAATGCCGTTGATAAATTACCTAGAATATTATTGAATTTAGTTCCAGGACTATGTGGAGTTACGCTAATTATTGGCACCATGTTATTGTTTACGTGGTAATGATGCTGTTGCTGTTGTTGATCCTATGAAAAGATTTTAGTTTATTTTTATTTTCTATTTTCGATTCATTTCTTTGTTACTAACCTGTTGAGGCGGCGACGCCTGATGATGCGTCTGTGATTGTGGAAGCTGAACGAAAAGTTAAATGAATTTTATTCAATTTTATTACATAAATGAATTTAATAGGGCCAAACAAATTGTAAAATTTATTCAATTACCATTTTCGTGGTTGAATTTAAAGCTGCATAAGTTTTCTTCAGTCCAAAGTGATTGTTATTGAGAGTTGAGTTTGTGCTGCTACTACTACAGCTACTGCTGCTATTATTTAAATCTCTTTCTGTACTTAGTGCAGACAAATATATCGGCTTTGTTGACGATGACACCGCTTCGTTCTTATTTTCACATGCGTTTGCGTTCAAGTAATCAGTAATTTCGTCAACATCACTGTCGTCATCTAAATTGGTTTTTCATGGAACAAAGAACAAAGTTATTAACAAAATTAGAATTTAAAATACAACGCGCACATGAAAATCTTTTACTAAATTTTTGATTCAATTGAATTTAGTTGTAATAATTGCATGAATGGAAAAGCAAAATATGAAAAAAATACGTGTTTAGCAGCAACGACAGCTCTGGTACATGCATGAATTATCAACTGAATTTCGAGCAAATCACATGATAATAATGTTATGAACATTTTCTTATATATATACAGAAAAGATACAGGATGTAATTAAAAACATGTATTGATAATATGGTGCACATAAAATAAGCATAGCATACAAAAGAGAGTTTCATCAAAATAAAGTACAAATCCAAGAGAATATCTTATCGAAAGTACTTTATGTTGTACCTAGCTTCGAATCATAGCCGTTGCTTTACATTTTTCACCGAAGTTCATTTTCATATTTACCATTTCCGCTATTCTTGTTAGTACAGCAAATTGTCAATAAATCCAATTATGTCGTGAATAGGCTTTGTTTATCATCATAAATATTTATACATACATACTAAAATGATATTTGATACTTTCAAGCACTCTGCTTCAGATTTATTCGAAACTAATATTTCTAAAAATGAATTCTTCAAATGAATAAAAATATAAAAAATTTGGAAAAAACCATTTTATATGGGACAATGTTTGTTAAAAACTTAAAAGCACATGCTGACCCCTGCATTCATGGTGTTCAAAAACTCCGAGTCTTATTTAAAATAAATTAAACATTCAAATGCATTATACGATTCATAATTGCACGTACCAATATGTGCATTAAAAAAAAAGAGAAGCATATCATATCAGGATGATGATATTGAAGTGATGTCCTCTCTAAATATATATTTACTTTTCGGCTAAAGACAGTATAGTTTTCTCAATGTGTTCGTTTGCGTCGGTATGATTGTCAATATACTCTTATGCCTTTGCGAAAAAGTCCTTGGCCAAACAATAGATGCTCACTCATTGTTCATTGGTACAGTTTCTGCTTTAATTTCCCTTTATAAATGAATAAATGATGAAAGTTAAATGCAACTGATAAGATAATGGAGTTTGTTTCTGTGACATTTTTTTTTTGTTATAATAATAAGCAGTTAAGTTTATGGGAAATGATTCATAAATCATAAAATTAAATAGAAATATGACTTCAAGCGATAAATAACCGTCATTCATTGAATTGTGTTTCAATTGCAGTTAAAATAATTAAAACCGTACCAATTACACTCTCATATCAATCAATTTCTTGACTTTTCAACGATGCTATTAATAGTAATTCACACGTTTTTCTTCTTCTTTATGTGGTATTATTTTCGTCATGTTGCAAATATCTTGCACACGCAATATACAATCAGCATGCAAAGTCTTATTGGAAAATTATAATTACAAATATGTATAAGTAATTTTGGTGGCCAATGTGAACTATGTTCGTTATTACTGACTTTTATTCATTGTACAGGTGCCATTTTCTCCTTTATTCAATTGATACTGGTGACAAATATTTGAATGGTGCCCTAATTTAATTTGAATTCAAACCAAATATCGAATAACTGAAGTATATTTTTTTGTTGTCATACTGAAGTTGGCATTGCAAAAGAATCGAATTTATGTGAAATTCAATTAGAAGAGAAAATTGAAAATTCATTGTGTGCGTTAACATGATCGAACTCTATAACGGTGTTTCGATATATTTGAATGTGGTGTGTGCATTCAGGCACATGGAAAATGGAATTGTATGCCGAATAATGATCAAAATGTTATAATGCGTTTCACGAAATCGTTCGATATCAAACTTATAAATTTTTAAGCAAATATGAGATGAGGACACTTCTTGTAATCACAAATTAAAGAAAAATAAAGACTTTGGCCTCAATATAGTAGTTGAAGATATCAGGTCAAACCAGTACACAAGCTCAGAGGATGAAAATGAAAGAAAACAGCCACAGAGAGAGAGAGAGAGAGAGAGAGAATGTGTATCCGTCAAATATAATATACATCTTTGATATGGAAGAACGATTCTCTTAAAGTGTGTGCATGAGCATGTTCCAGTTCTGAGCACTTCTTTTTTTCAATGTCAGTGACAGTATATCCCATTTTATATACCATGATTCGAGGCAAATGATTGATATATTGAAGATATGGGGCACACACGTCTATACTTTCACCACAAACTCGACTGTGAATAACGTTTGCTTGTGTTACACACAATATGGACACCACATTTCTGTAGTACATACTACACTCTACAAGTATATAAACGATTATGGTTGGAGGCGAGATGCCAAAGGTATAAAGGGGGGTTTTTGTTTGACTTTTAACGGGCGAATTTTTTTTGTATAATAAATTTGTTTCTGGATGTCTCAGCGTCATCAGTTACTCGATTTTAATAGCTACATCACGATTTAATAGAATCATATCTGATGAGCGTTTGGGTAATGCAACAAAAAACTGTGACATAAAATGGTTGGGAACGACAAATTATTAAAAAATGTATTACAATTTATTTCGAAGCGAGCCAAACAATTGGGCAAACAATGAAAAGCTTAACATGTATAATATAAATTTGTCGATAATGAAAAGCCCAAAGTCTTCGTATTAATTAATATTTAAGCAGTGTACATACAGTATACACCCAGCGATGAAAAGAAATCGATGCACTCTAGTTAGTAGTACTTTGTGGCAAAAGTATGACGCATTTCAATCCTTAAAACTCTGTGTAGGATGAAGTACTATTTAGATATCTTTGTGTCAACCCAAACAAAACAAATGGATAAATGACTGCTGTTGCATCGGTGCAATTCATCTTTTCGGCATCATTAAACAATTTATTCACAGTTCATTATGAATTCACTTTTCGAATTAAAAAACAAAATTCTACTTAATTTCCCGCAATTTCCTGTTTTTTTTTGTTTCGATTTTTTAAATACACTCCGAATTGGCGCTGTGTAGGAAGTGTATTCAACACATACTAGTAGTATATTCTCTATATCTTTTTAAAACCGCCTATTTTTGGCACTCAGTTTAACAAAACCGTCATGCAGTAACCACACAGTAGAAAGTAATAAAAAACATTGATTAAAATTTTAAAAAACACACTGAATGTCTTTGTATAACATTTTCAACAACATATACTTTGTAAATCGAATGCAATGGGGTCGTTGAATATGGATAAATAGTAATTAAAAAAAATGACGGAGTAGAGACTTCAATTAAAGACCAGAGTGATAAAAAATAAGAGCGATGTCAAAATCATGCTTGAAGCATGGAAACTGTATCGTAGATATCAAGTTTCGATTAACATAAGCGATTCAATAACAAGCATCTCTATTCAACCATTTATTTTTTTACACATCGAGCAACGATACAATGTATTCATTACATAAAGTAAATAGAATCAATTGAAAAACATCTCGACTCGAAAAACCTTGGACAATTTTTTGAAAGATGTGAGGACACACTCTTTTTTTCAGATTTCTTATTCATTTTCACAAATTGTGTTTGATAAGAGATTATTCACAAGCGTCATCTGCAAAATTGTAGATTTTGATAAAAAAGCTACTTATCAGCTATCTCTTATCAATATCGTCAGCTTACAAGCTACGTAAGTTCTTTTTTTTCTCTCGAGGAGTAGAGAAAGGTTAAAGCAATGACGAAAATGAAGTGTATTAAGCATCTTTAAACGGCAGCCATAGATCCTGCATCGGAGAGTCGGATTTTCCTTATTCGGAATTTTCTTTTCTGTCATATTTTCCAGGATTTATGGGTGGAACGGATTGAAAAGAAATGTTGCCGAGTGTGAAATATCTTCATTAAACACGGCCTATGATTCATTGTATTTAATGAATTTATCCCTCTCTTCAAGTGAGCTATATACTTCCCTTATCAAATTTAAGTGTGAACTATATCCAATAAGAATCCGTCATATGAGTGAATAACGAAGACATTTTCATGCTCAATTGCACTAGCTATAGTTGATTAACGCAGTTCATCAGTTTCGATACATATTAACTTACTTTGTAAATATGTGCACACCAAAATCTATCCAGTTTTATGTTTCCACCATTTTGAATCGATATATATATTATTTTTAATAAAATCCATATTACTGTTGTTATTATTTTATGGTTAATAATAATATTGTTAGTAAAATTGTTAGTTGCCATTCCATTCGATGATGATTTATTTACCTGAAGTGTTTTGTACAAGATGTTCGGTGGCTCCATCATTGAAATCCATTTTGTAAGTAACCCGAATCGCACAAATGTAATGTGTTAATATTATAAATGTACGGCTACGGCGTTGGTATAACGAAAATGTATTTTTCTCGATTGCGTCCTACGATATCAATTAATGTGGTTTTTTATAGTTGCATGGGTAAAAAAATCATTTCTTTTTTCAATCGCATCGATCTAATGATTGACATTATCACTTAGTTGAATTAGATATTTGGTTTGTATCATTATTTAGTTTATTGTGAATTTTAAATCGCGTTGTCAGTTTTATTGTGTGTTGCAATGTATTTTCGTGAATATTTCATTTAAAGAGTGAAGAAAAAACTTTGCAGTGAAAAAAATAATTGACAATATTCAATTTGAACATCATTTTCAATTTAATGAAATGGAAATCGCTTTTGAACACATATAACAAATTTGAATTCACAAAGAATGACCAAAGATCAGGTACATATCAGAAAACTAATGTTGAATTTCCATAATTCACACAGATGGCCATCATTGCTGATTTACATTTTAATTTCACATTTGAGTGATACTGATCGACTGTAATATTATTTAAAGTTAGGTGTGTAATATTATCAGAGTCAGTCATATCGAGAGAGAGAGAGAGAGAGAGAGAGAGAGAGAGAAAAAACAGCTCAATGATAGAAAGAGTATTATATTATGTCTGTCAGTTTGTCATTTCAATATTTCAGTACGATGACATTTTCGAACTTTGTGAAAAACTTTAAATTACCAAATTTTAAATTAAATTTCTCCTTTTATCAGAATAAGATGGTATCTACAAACAGCACCAACCTAGGTAAGCTCACAGTTAAAATTGCGGCTATGATTCATCGGTTGTATTGCACTAGACTATGTTAATAAAATATTCTACTAGATATTGACAGTGCGGTATGCATACAAATAATTGATTGTCTGAGAATGAATGTTTTTTTTTGTATTTCAAGAGAAGTCTCACATTCATTCTCGAGTGTTCCGTTCTTGATTCGGATGTCTAGGGGTAAACTAACGTTTCATTACCCCAAATCAGTGATTCTGTAAACTTGTTTTCGAATTAGTTTCTATTCTCAATCAAATCAAGTATATATTTATCATAAGTCGAATCGAAATGAACGTCATGAACACACCATCTTGTATTGACCTTTTCGTCTTCGTAAATTCATTTCATTCAGTTTGTTGAGTCACGAAGCTTGAGTTCGTGTTTTTGCTTCATTTTTCTTCACGTGCATACTTTTGCTACAAATACTCTACTTCTGACAAACATCAAATGCTCAACATCCATTTATTTCACTTTCCATGCACACTTTGCCCGCGTATAAATGATTCTCATCGTTTTCTCTTTTTAATAGCAACAATTTTTTTTTCTCTCGTCTTGTTTTGATTTACATAAAAGAAGCATATTTTAATTAAGGAAATTACGTTTATTTAGACGCAACGGAATAGATGCATCTTTTTCTCTCCATATGATTTAAAAGAAACGGTGAGAATAACAAATGATCGTGTTTTCTCCAGTGCCTTGGGAAAATATGCTCAGTTGAATAATTGAGAGAGTTTTATGTGAGTGTTTGCGTCTGATTGCAATTCACTTGAAAAGGTGAATGAAAAGGTTGACGCTGTTATGGACGGAGTCCAACTTTTCATCGCCGAACCGATGCAATTGAAAATTTGTTTCAGAGCTGACCACATGAACAGAACAAAGACAATCTCATGTTTCCTTCATTTTGTCGCATGACCGAAACGTTGCACCACAAATTGTGGCTTGTGTGGGAGCGGTGCCAGAACAATGTTAAGATCAACTTGACAACTCATTGTGTCGGTTTCAGCTACGAAAATTCTTCAAGATATGCGAATTGTTTAATGGTCCTTGAAGTATGGCTAAGTGATTACCTGTATGGCTGTTATCACTGATTACAGGCCCTGAAAAATCGTGGAAATTATGTGACGAATTCGAAAATGCTTGATGAGTATACGACATTGTCCCCGATATTTTAAGCGACTTCCACTAGCAACTGAGACGATCGGTAGAAGATTGATCAATTATCAGCACGGATCGCATGTGAGCAAACGAATACAAGAAATGCGTCGAGCAATGCTATCATTCTTCAATTTGAAATGTTAATAAATTTTGATGTGGAACTGAATCTTTAACATTTTGATGCGCAATGAAAAATGCAATGTTTGCAGTATTTCTTTATGTCGATTCCCATAGTTTATTTTGGACGATTTACATTGATGGTTTTACATAAAAAAGGGACTTTTCACATCAATTTTTACACGCATATTGTTGAAATATACATTTTGTTGCGACGATCTTTTTATCATATGAGTTCAATTAAGATAGAGCAAAATTTTGAAACAAAGTTATAACACTTTGGCTTTTCACATTTTACTATTAGCAAATAATAGTGTGAAATTTGCGCGATTGAAGAATGTTGAATTGGCATTTCTATGGTCGACGCAATACCGTGAATATTAAGTTAAAAATCACACCTCTACACACTACACACTACACACACACATCTTCATTTTTTCTCCCTCCATTTCTTAATTTAGCCGCTTAATATTTTGACTATCGCGTAAAGCAGAGAAGAAGAGCGAAAAAATAACGAAACTCAAAATTACAGTTAGAATTGAAAACGAATAACTAACTGTGTGTACAAATAACGGTCGTTACTGAATGAATTGAGCGACAATAGCGACGATCTTCTTTTCATCTTCAATGTTTGAGAGAGAAAAAGAAAGAGCAAAAAAAATTGAACGAAAAGCAGTAAAGTTTTTGGAATTAATTGCATAAAAATTCTTGTGAAGATCTTTTCTATTGTTAAAATGATTATCAAATAGAAACTCGTGCATAAAAAAGGCACATCAATGTTCACATCGTTTTATATAAAATCAAAATGATTTCAACATATGAAGCTGTGCGAAGCGTTGAACGTTTGACGAACTGAACGCCAAAACAAAAGTGAGTAAGCATGTAAACAATTCGTGCTGACTATCGCCACGACTATCAAGAGTTTTGCAAAGACGAGCAAATGGTGTATCTTTAATGAGAGCTCATTGTTTCAACTGCTCACTCACTCAATTCATTTTTCTCTTCTCTGCCATTTGTACTGTGATGTGCAAAATTATCTTTATATGTGATGTTATTGTGTTTGAGAAGGTTGTCTCAATGTATCGATTATTAAAGTTGTCATAATACTATGGAAAATACTTGGAAGAATGCAGAACATTTCATTCATTATAGTTTTGTATCACTTTCTTTTTATTTATTTTCGTTCTTCTTATTTTCGGGAAACATCACCGAAATTGAATGAAACATTGAATAAATCTCAAATGCATCCAGGCAACTAACTATAAATTAAATTTAAGATAGAGAATAAAAAATTTAAAAAAATAAAAGAAGAAGATAGAATCAAATCTACAATCTCGGAAATGCTAGCGGTACATTTTAACACAATAAATTGTGAATGTGCATCATATGCACAGTATTGTGGAATAAATAAAAAAAACGTTGCATTTTATTGAGTGTACGTGTAATATGTGTATGAAAAGTAGAGAACGTACTGAATGGAATGGAATAGGGTAGATGCTTATTGATTACAAAAAGGAACATATCTGTGGCACAGAGCATCAACATTGAAAGTTAACATTCACAGTGGTTGAATTGTTTCCAATGCAAATAAAAAGCAAATGGATGATGGCAGGAGAATTTCAACTGCCTACATATATGGGAATAGTGCGTAACTCTAGAGAAATAGAACGGAAAGTTGATATAAAATTGAACAGAGCTATAGATAATAGTTTTGAAACCAATCAGATTCTATTGTGCAATTGGATGTTGCTCAAACTGATAAACCTAGTTTCGTTTCATTCGTTTTTAGTGCTGTTGCTTTTTACAGAAATGTTTTGATATGGAATGACAATATCAAATGGATTTGAGGAACGATTGAAAATGGCATCTCTAGCGTCTTTTGAAAAAAGGTTGAAAATGTTAACAAAACTAAAATTCAAAAGACAAAGATAATGAAAATAACTGCTGATCGCACACGCATAATATAATTCTAGATTTATTATTCATAATGGCTTTCGTGCAACACAGGAAATGATACTCTTTCTATATTGGCTGGAGTTTTGTATGCGATTATAAATTTATACAGAATTCACTTGTAAGGATTTATTGAATCCATGTGCATTTAATGAAAACCTCCAATAAACGGAAGTGTCAATACGAAAGTAATAGTCTATTGAATTTGCTTTGTATTTAATTTCTATATGATCATAATGAATGGTTGAGTAAATGCTGGATGCTCACAAAACTCATACATTTAGAGGCGCATATAAACGAACACTGGCTGCATAATGACTTTCCCAACCAACACTCATTCAATTTAGCTTGCGTACACCTGAATTTTCGTGTGTTCAATCGGTTGAACCAATACCATTAAATACGGTCATTGTTACAGTATGAGTGATTGTTGTTATACACGCGGTTCATAATGTATTGAGTGATGTTACATCTCAAGAATTAACCAATTCAGAAAATAATAAAATTTGATAAATGCTCTACTTTTCGATTGCCTGCCACTCTGTCATATCGAGGATTTTGAGATGGGATCAAAACGATGTTTTCTTTTCTTGTAAATGGCAGCAGCACATATACATGCGAAATAAAAATGTATTCGATGGCAAAATTTGTTGATGGCAAAGAGTCAAACCCTCATATAAGCTAAGCAGTGCAAATACAACGACAAATGTAATGATAATATACTTCAAAAATTAAAAAAAAAAACAACAAAGAAAAGAAGAGAGAACAAAAAACACGAAACAGAAAACATAAAAATGAAGTGAATCCGAATGATGTACAAATACAACACGAACAAAAACGATTTTACATATACGTATGTATGTATACATACGAATACAAATACGTATGCACTATCGCCAAACCAAACCAAGCTAAAAACCAAACAATATGATGCGATACAAAACGAAGTGAAATGAAATGTAACGAGTTGGAAAGAGAACGGTGAAACATACAACAATTTCATTTCATTGGATACCTGTGGATTTTTTCCGTTGGTTTGCCTTCGTTCGTTCGGTTGGACGTGTTCTTCTTATGTATTTTGGTTACAATTGTGTGTTGTTGTTTTTCTTTCTGCTTACTTATGTTGCTGTGGCACTGCCGCTTCTTTTCCCTCAGTGTCGTTTATTTATTTCATTTTTTTTTTTGGGTTGAGGTGTATTCAACTCTTACTATCTTTTTATTCGGATGCTTTTCGTGAACAACTCTGTATGGAGGTGACGGTGCTTCGTTTCAGTCTCTTTATTTTATTCGTATTTTGTTTTCGTTCTGCATAAAAAACATTCTTCTTTCTTTCACAATTTGATTGTTGTTGTTACTTCTTTTTGGAAGCGTATATTACTCACTAACACTACAAAAAAAATCTGAAAATTGTTGATCGTAAAATGTCTTGGCCACAATTCAATTTGCACTTAATTCACCGCTTGCAAAAAAAACAGAAATGATTTGATTTATATTGAGCATAGGTGCTATGCCCTGTTATTGAAGGTAAGATTTATCGAATCAAATTAAATGTTTTCTTTAAGAAGGTCACTGACGTTAGTGAATCCTTGAGCCGACCGAATATTGTACAAATAACATGGTACATCTAAATGTTGCACTGGGATTGAATTTTGTGGTGGATGGAATGTACTCTCTGCAAAAAAACCAAAAAAATTGTCAAAATCAGGTGGGCACTCGTTCATCATTACAAACAATCGAAATAATAATTCAATAAAATATTTATCAGCGAACACTTTTTGATGTTGTTGTATATGAATAAATATTATGAGCTCTTGAATGGAGATGACCACTCATCTGAAAATACTAAAAAAGTAAACTGAATGGCGTTTGTAGTATGTTTATTTCACTGTGAGCCAAATGTCCAAAACATTATTCACACTTTATTTTGCAATGAATCGTGTATAATTTTCATAAAAAAAAAAAACAAAAAAAAACTGCAGAGTTCACAGAATTCACAAAAAACTCTCTTTTGTTTGTGTTCATTAAATATTTGTAGCACAATATCTTTGGGGCCGTTTTTTTTTAACGAAACGAATAAAAATGTTTTCGGAAAAATGTAAGATGATGTAGTACCAATGTGTCACATTATTGTTGCAAAATATTATATCGTGTGCACCGTACTCCTAATAAAACTTCAATTACTCATCGAAGAAATGTCCACGTTTGAAAAACACAACTAACAATGCGTCCATCCATTACAAATGGGCACCTAACTCAAACTAACTTGTATTCCGCAAAGCTGTTAGCTATGCATAATACACAACGATTGAATCATTGTGTTAGTCTCCACTGGATCGAACGCATGTATTCGTACCTACGTATACAATAAATGTGGATCATTGAAATGGATTACGATTGCAAGATGTACGAGCGAGAAGTGCGCAACCATTGACGCTATGCAGAGAGAGACAAGTGAACGAATATCGCAGGGCTGGTGTTGGTCGTCTGTCAGTTTTCGATTTCAATTTATTGTATTTGTGTATGACGGAGCATATATACACACAGACACACACACATGTGCGCATACACACATACGCATTGAGTGTCATTTTGACTAGCTATATTTTTTGTATATATGTACGCATTACATACCATTCTTCACAAGTAAGTCTTTGTATAATCGTAATTTTCAGGGATTTGCCTGCGTTTTTCGTTCGAAAGGATACTTGAATTTCGTCGAAAGCGATTCAATCAATCGCATCGAATAATCCAATAACGTCTAACGCTTCTCATTTCATTAACCAGCATTCAAAACAATCAATCGTCTTCTGTTTTGCGCACACAATAATCTCGCCAATTCTTTCGTTTGTGAGGTGAGATTTATAGGCAGTTTTACTGAATAACATTTCTTAAGTACTTTGAACAATGTTTGTTATGATGCATACTACATTGTTTCAAGCTTTTAAAAAGTCCGTCGAATTTCAAAGCTTTCTAAAGCAAAAGCATTTTTTTATAGTACTGCCATCTGGCCAATGTCGTTGTAAATCAAATTGTAATGCTTTCGAAAAATGTTGTGCTTAAATATAAGTTTATAGAACGTTTTGATTTCAAATATTTTGCGTAGAGTTTTATCGCCAACAAGAGAAAGAATATGTTAATGAAAATGTTTACACAAAGTAATTCTTAAAATAGCATTCATTTTCAAATGGTAAATGGCGTATTCAATTTTGAACCCATTTGTACACGATTTGGTAATATTCAAATTCGAATCCGAATAATGGGTGATAAATATTATTGGAAAGATTCGATCCTTTCTGTATATGATTGTTGAGAATTCGCACGTAGTCTCTTTCTCTCTCTATCTCTCCCTTCTTCATAAAACAAATAAGAACATCTTACATTCAGCCACATTCGACTTTCGATCAAACATACAAATAAACATATGTTTTTTTTTCTCGTCCACAAATCAAGGCAGGCCACAGTCCACAGATAATTTCATAGAACGGATAGTCACAAACAACTATAAGTGGTATTATGTACTGTATTTATCAGGCAAGAAAAATTTTCCGCAATCGAATGACGAAAAAATGATTAATTCTTGACAGAAAATAATATTTTCCATTATTCGCTTACGCAATAGATGATGATTCCGTCATCATGAATAGACACATACGAATCCATTAACGTAACACAATTTTTCTACACTATCATCCATGCATATTGGCCACATTCATCATAGACAAATTAGTTGTATATCGTTAAAGAGTTACGATTTATGTACCATTGTTTGTAGAAACTAGACTTAAACGGGTAGCACAACAACTGTGAATTAATTTACCACATTTTCGTTATATGCAAAGATTAAAATTTATTATTTAATCAGATGAAGTTAAAAAACGGTAGTATGTCCTATCTATTATCTAATTTTTTTTTTTTTTTTTTCAAATAATTTTTAATTATGAAGGTAACTTTTATGGCCAATTCAAAGTATATAGATGCAAAATATTTACGTTTAGTAACTAATCAATTTTATGATATTTTTCTTGTATCAACTGCACTTAAAACAACATTTTTTGCCCGTAATCATCATATTTGTGGAAATCAAGAAATTTTTCATTTATATTGAAGCAAACCAGAGATTTCGATAATAAGCATGTGTTGAATTTCACACATCAAAACCAATCAATGCATAAGAGTTGTGCGAAGCACATTGTGCTAGATGCCGATTGTTTTGTGCTATAGTGTCAATGTATTGATGCCTTTTATCTAAGTATTGATTCGGTTGCGATAAAAACCTTGAAGATTTTCAATTCATCTCGCCAAATGTTTTTTTTTTCTTTCTTTCTTTTATTTAACATTCGTCGTTAATTGCAAATGTTTTGAATATTTAAATTTTGTTAAACACTTATAATAACTTAAATGACAAAGAGCTCAACAATTTCAGCTCTCAGTACATGATTTTGATTTATTTTTGGTGATAAGTGATGTACAAATTTACAAAATAAATGCGAATTCAAAAACTGCTATAAAAATTGGACTGGGTAAAATTTGAGTACTCGATTGAAATTTTGCAAATCTAAATACAGATTTGAATTGTACATATTTTGTACATTTTTATACAATATACGTTGTTATGATAATATGGATGATTAAAAAGTTGCCCATTCGCGGCGAATTCAAAAACTGCTATAAAAATTGGACTGGGTGAAATTTGGGTACACGATGATAATTTCTCAAATCTGATGGTTGATTTGAATTGTACATATTTTGTACATTTTAACGACGTATACACTGGAGGTGTACGAAATTTAAAAAAAAAAAATCCGTAAATCGAACTTTTTTGATTTTTGAACTTTTGGCTCCAGATAGTGACCCGATGAAAATTTTTCAAATCTGATGGGTGATTTGAATTGTACATATTTTGTACATTTTAACGACGTATAACTTTGGTGTTGTACAAATTCGGGTAAACATTTTCTGGCTTTTGATATTTTCAATTTTTAAAAATCCAAATTCTGAAATTTTTTTGTTGGTACATAATCATAAAAATTGTTGTACATAATTGTACATAATTAGTACATTTTAGTAGTATATACGATTTTTCGAAAATTGACATCGACCGGAAATTGACTACCTATCCAATAAATGAATGGTATAATCAATTTCTACATCTCCAACGTTCTCTTCTTCTGTTAAATCACTGACATGATGGTGAAAAAAAGTTGCAAAAAATGAAATCAGCGTTATTAGCTCGCTAAAAATATGATAAGATTATTTGATGAAAATATAAAAACGTGTGTTTTATCAGTTAACAGCTGCAATATATTTGTCTACTTTAACTGATTCATCTTCACTTCATACACATTTCTAGCAATGTCTATGTAAATATATATTTTTTTTGTTTTTGTCTGGTTTCAGTATAAACAATCAACGTAAGAATAGAACGAAACGTAAAGATGAAATCTATGTGCAAATATTTCTCTGAAGTACTTTTTCTTCCTCTTCGCGACAAATATTTTCCATTTTTTTATACTCTTCTGAATATACCGAGTACAAAAAAAGAAGAAATAAAATTCGAAGTGTATGTCCTTCAAATAATGTTTGTTCTGTTTTCAATGACGAAGCATATTCATTATTGTTCGTTTTCGATGTGTAAAAAGATTGCACCCGTTCATCTGTAAAATGCGATCAATTTGCATTCGTTCATCATCCAATGTGTCTCGACATGAGCGTGAATACATACACATAATTATACCGTTTAAAGTCATTTTAACTACGTGTTGCATGTTTAATGATAAAACATTGAACAAGCAAATATGGCCACAAAACATGAGGTAAGTGGCAAGAATGCAAAACATCGATGACGCTTGAACAATAAAGGAAAGATGAAATAAAATTGATCTCTCCTTCACTATATACAACTGCTATATTCATCTATACAATGTAGCTACCGTAGTTTTCATGTCAAAAACTACTGCTACGATTTAATTCGGTCGAGTTTTTACTTTTATATTTTTCTCTTTTTTTTCCCTTCAATTCAAACTTCGTAATGCATCATAATATTATGAAGTGTAACATATTGAAGAAAACCGTCTTTTTCGCCATTTTTTCATCAATTAAACTCTGAACATGAGACGAGAACATTTTACAAGAATATGGTCATTTACCATGTTTTGCTCGAGTGAAACTATACAGACAGGCTTGTATAGCATAAAATACATTGCAGAAAAAGGTGCATAAACAAAACTAATAAATATTCACAACTGGCCGGTAGGTCGCAAGAAATATGCACTTCATCGTCTGGACTTCTTTGTACTGAAAATAATGTGTTTCTTTTTCTTTAAAAAAAGATGAGAATTTAAGCGTCTGAGTGTGACAGTCGTAGCACTCTCGTATATGCAAGTCGAACAATTATACTTAATTACCGAGAATAGACTACAAATCTAGAGAAAACACGATGTGAAATGAATTATCAGGTGTACTTAAAAAAACCATTTAGTTATTACAGATTTTTTTTTTCATTTGTTTACATCATTCTACAAGGAACGTAGAAAAGAATCTTGTTAATTATTTATTTTAAACAGAAATATTTTCACTTTTTTTAGTGTTGACTTCATTCTTGCATAGAGACTGTACCATATCATTTCTTGTTAAAAAAACTGTCTGAAGTAAATTAATATTCATGAAATTGTATGGTGATATAAAAAAAATCAATGATCATTTGGGATGCTTCGTTCTAAAGATATGCTTAGCATATTCTTCTTTGTGAAGTTATATCAAAATAAAATTGGAGTAATCATGAAGAACAAGCTGTATAATTTTATTTGCATCAAGCTCATTTCATAAATTGTATAGAAAGATTGGTGATTAAACTAAAACGATTTTCGATGAATCGATTGCTGTAGATCGATCAGTAGACACTGTCGTACTAGTATTATTATCGCGTTTGAATGCCAGACACTAAAACTAAGTTTCGTTCCTGTTCCAGTTGATTGCAGTCGAAGTCTGTGTCTGAATTATTATTTTTTTTTTTTAACAAAACAAATGGAAAAAACGAGCCGATAATAACACACGCGACTATAGTTCAAGCGTTCGTCAGCCTTTTTATGCGATAAGGTCTATATTTGTGATTATAGTGTCTGTTGAAAACAATTCTCGATTGATGCGTTGTATCTTACATAATTGTTCATTTGATTTCGAAATTCCCTTGAAATAATATGATTTTTACAGGGGGCAAATCGTGATTCTTCGCAGTTTCTTTTAGCAAATAAGTTAATCGAGAATATACATACTTTTATGCATTAGATTTTGATTAGCTATTCCATGTTCTTTCACTCTCATTTTGAAACTAATATATTTGTTCGCCGATTTCCAAAAAAATCGAACACAATTACAATCGGACGCCAGGAAATGGGGCTTTTTTTTAAAAAAAATCGACAAAATCAAACACATGAATTATCTCTGTTTTGTGGTGACGTTTTAAAGAATAACCACTAAATCAACTAATTCAGCGAATAGATAATATTAGAACTCGAAGAGAACAAAATGCACACTTAAGAACATGCATTTGTACATATTCCATTAATACGCTCATCGATTGATTAATTTAAAATGTTAACGTTTGAGTTTGTTATTTTCAATCGACTAATTGTCTTTATATGATCATATTTGGCCCCGATTCTTCTATGTAATTAGTTGACCGGAGATTTAAAACCATCAAAATATTCTTGTTTTTGTTTCGCACAAAGTAGTATTTATTTTAGATGTGCTGACATTTTAAGCGGAACATTTCACAGCAGCGTCTCTCTTACCACTTCAGATTACTAATCGTAATTAGTTACAAACATAATTTAATTTTGTGAAAATTTTCTGGTCTACATGAGACATTTTATAATTTTCGTCAACAAATTTTGAATTGTATGATTTCAACCTTGAATCCAACATCATCCAATCACAACTGATCTTCAACCATTGACCTTTTTTCGCGTGGTGAGTGAAATGGAGATTCATCTCAACCTTTTTTTACTTCAACTTTTGGTCACAGGTCATAGTAAACAAGTTAACCCATTTTAACCGTCAGAATTTTTCTTTTTTCTCATATATTTAGTAGCTTTGTACTTGAAGCAAATCAATTTGACAGAGACAACAATCGAAACAATTAAATGAAGTCACAAATCAGAATTTCCAATTAAATTGAAATTCCCCATTGCTACCCCGATAATTAATATTCATTGTTGCTATTTCAATTCAACCAATTTGTAATAATAAGATTTTCTATTTTTAGCCGTATAATAAAATGTGCGAAAAAAATTCGTTTAAATGTCCAAAATATCAAAAGATAAAGGGCGTCTGTACATTTTGGAATGAACTTCAGACTTTCATCATCCAAGTGATGTATAGTTTTATTTAAAAAAAAAAACAAATAAAAAAAAAAACATCCCGGCATACAATGATTTTTGGATAGGAAAGATGCGTAAGATCTCCGCAAGATCTGGATCCAAGCGTGGGTACGCTGCCGCATGATGCATACATATATAATACGCACGCAAATTCGTTATTCTTATTTCGCCTACTTTGATTCGCACTAGGGGCTTAATACGGCAAAAAATTCACAGGAATTCACGTAAATCCACACTTTTGAATCGAGTGGTTATTGATGAGTTCGGTGAATTCGTGTGAATAGAATAAAATGTGTCAAAGTAATAGAGTGAGGTTATGATAACCGCAATATTTTTTAATTTATTAGTTTTTCAATATTTCCGATTGTTTTCGATAGAAAATCGCTCAAATTGAAAATAAACTTAATTTTTATTTAAAAAAATATAAAAAATAATATTAAAAAAATGTTACAAAAAATATAAATATTGCAGTAATTGCCAGCAGAAACTATTCACCACTATCTCACATATTTGAATGAAATCGCCGTAGAATTCACTGAAATTCATTCGTTTGCTGAAAAATTTAGTTAATTTAGATATAATTATAGAATTCAGTCGTTGAAAATTTTGAATTAAGCCCCTTAGATTCACATGCCATAGCATTACGGAATAACGAATGTATGTATCATGCGGCTACGTGGGCACGCTTGGATCCGGATCTTGCGGAGATCTTACGGATCCATCCAATCCAAAAATCATTGTATGCATCCCAGACGTTCTGTTGTCAAAAATCAAAAAAAGTCATTTTGTTATTCATTGTATATTGAGCAATTTGTTTCAATCATAACGAGGTAATTTTAATACAGACGATAAGATTTATTTTTTTTTGTGCAAATACTTTTTACACAACTGATTAAGCCTTGATGAATGGTTGAAAATGGGAAATTGGTTGGAACGAATTGCGATTAAAATAGAAATTACTAGGAAAAAATGTAAAGACCTTCACAGCCTGTTGTATTATATAATCATTCGATCGATTATTATTGAATATTCTTGATTAGTCTTTCGAACTAAAATGTAAACGACAAGCAAATTAGCTGATAATACGATTAGGCAATAAATGATAAAATCAGCAGATTCACTCGCCAAAGATGCACAATAACTTTCATCGAGCTTCAAGTATAGATTATCTCAATTGAAAAAATATCGTCTTAGATTGCGAGTATCACCTTTTAAATGAATACCGACTAGAAAAAAAATCCAAATCAAACAGTTGTATAAATAAATAACTGAAAAAAGCAAGTGCAAGATTAGGAAAATTAATCAGATTTCACAGCGATAACCAAGTATTTGTTGTGGTTGCTTTTTTTATATTATATGAGTTTTATTTTCTTCAGTAACACGATCCGAACTCATGTACAGCAATCACAGATCTTGTTTGTTTCTTTCGTTTCAATTGACAGGTCCAATGTTACCTTTATGGCATAATCATTCAGCAAGTGTATCAACAAAGTGACAAGCAAGGAAGAAAAACAAAAATAACCTCTTTTAACCGATATCGACATTTTCTATTTACAAATTGAATAATAAAAAAACTGCGTTTGGTTTCGTTTGCTTTTTTTTCTTCAAATTTCTCGTCACATATACAATTTAGAAAGATATTGTAAATTAGTGTGGAATGAAATCGAAGTGATAAATTAATAGCACTCAAAAAGCGGTTATCACATATTTTGCATTTAATAGGTTGATCTCGTTGTTTCCAGAAACTGATGATGAACACTGACAAACGTATTGGTTCAAATCAACATCAACACCAAATGCGTGGTGTGTGCGTGATCATTTGGATACACACAGCTTCGTATGTTTGAGTACGGAAAAAGTGCATAGATGCTTGGAACACAGATGAACGTGACCGCCGTCATAGATATTTGACCGAAATTTTTAATATATCATATGATTAATGTTTTGTTCGTAATGTGCAGCAACGATAAGACGCACAATTCGAAAATGTCATTTTATGTATCCAAAACAATAATAGCCGAAATGAGGAAAGAACATGAGTAACACAAAATGTGATCTGCTCACATTGATAAATGCACACATACATGCTAATGTCACTAACACCGATGCGAGAGTGCCGAGTCGATATGTCAGTCGGGCTGAGACGAAAATGAAAACAAAAACATATTGCAATTGTAAAAGTGAACCCACACGCACACAGATCAACGACACACACCGAACATTGCCTATTATCGTCGTTCAGCTGTGTATTTTCTTTCTTTTACATTTCAGACGTCTTTCATTACATTCGTGATATTTAAACGTTTTGTACCACAATTGTGCTGTTCAGTTTAAATTTTGTTTCTCAACGAATTGAATCGACCATTTTTTTCACCGCAACAGAAATAATTTGCAAATATTTCGAAAATCATTAGAACAAAATCATCATCGTTGCTTCGGATACCAATCAATCATCAATTTTATATAATTTACTAATATTGTGCTCTGTTCAAAAATAAAATAAGAAGAACAAATTAAAAAAAATCAACGACAGCTGTATATTTCTTGTGATAGACATCAAATAGCGAGAAAACATAGTGATAGAACGTTTCATATTTAATGCAAATGGATCCCTAGTCGACATTAAAATTTCGTGTTTAGTTTTCAAAATCGAAAATTGCACTGAAATAACCGACGTTGTAACCAGAAACACTTGATCTAAGGAGAAAGAAACCAAATTTTTTTCACACATTCTTCCTCACAACCGAACAACATTTTTCAAACGTTTGATCGAAAAGTAAAAAACATTTACTATTATAGTATGCACTTCCAATTAATCAAACGTAATCCAAAAGATGAAGCAGAGACACCGACGTTAAACAAATTTTTACAAGAGTTTTTTGCCTTGAGCATAATCTAGACATCGAAAAAAGTATCAAATATTTGAAACGATTCATACAAATTACAAAGCAAAAGAGTTTAGTGAAAATATTGCAATTTGTAATGATTGACAGAACTTGAAATTCGATTATAACATACAACTTTTAACGTATAATAATATAAATAAATTGTGACCATTCGCCAATTTTTTTTTCTTGAGAAATAGTTGGGAATTTTTTCATTTTTTAAATCAATTTAAAAGAATTCGTCTGACAATGTCTTCGGTGCCAGAAAATTCTTCAGTTCCACTGGATGTGGTCAATAAACGAAAAGTATCATTTACACGTAGCGATTCGTTTGATAAATTCCTATACACTGCAATCTACACGCTGCAATACTTTCAATTGGCGGGTAAGTAATTTAAATGATAAAATCCAGAATGTTTGTTTTGTGTCATTTTGAATGATTGTTATTTAAAAAATAAAAATGATTATGTGCCGTACATCTATTTATGGAAAATCCCCAGAACTAAGCCAATTATGCGTTATACATATTATAGTGTATATTGTAGTCGTCTACGACTCGTAGAACTTAAGCTATGTGTCTTGTAAACCGCGTCAACAACAACAGTGAAATGGGAAGTTTTTAACACGATTCTTCGTTAATATTATTGACTTTTTTTCCTCTTTTTTTCTACCTTGATATACATGTAAGAAACGAAACCTTATGAAGATGAAACAAGTTTCTTATAAAATAGAATTTATGTGCACACCATCACAGCTATAAATGCAGTTGAGTGGAAAATGACCAAAGTCCAAGACAAGACAAAAAATAAATAAAAGAAGATACTTCCATAACTAGATTTTCTCCGCTCTGTCTATAGTTATGCATTGGTTAGGTGATAGCATTTCTCTATGTGAGCTGAACGTCGCCAACGAAGTAGCACCGAAAATAAATCCGAATATAGAAATAAAGCAGAAAGCAGAAAGTTTTCGGCGTTGACTTATAAATTTCAATTAATAGACAGCGTTTTGTTGTCAACGCTGCTGCATTATATACTTTAATCAAGGAGGAGTGACAACACTTTTGGATATGAAACGATAGGCATAAACCACACACATATTTTTACTATATTCATTTTGGCACACTGTTTTTTTTATCGAATATAGTATTTTGTTTAGATTGATATCCATGTTTCTAATGTTGCTTATAAATGTATTATGTTCGCAATTAACTCCGAAAAAGTATCAATTTATCTGTTGATGGAATTGTTTTGTAGTTTTGGTAATTGTCGAAAATAAACGTCACATGAATATAAAATTCAATTAGCAGGGTCAATTTAAAGCGGTGCCATTGTTGTTTTATATTGTTTTTATTTATTGTCATGCATTAAAAAGATTTAAAAAATAATATTGTCAACCATTATAACATATGTGACTCGAAATCCAATGTCTAAATGAGAGTCCTCGAAACTTAACAAAGGGATACGTATGAACTTTGGAACATAAACGCTATGGTTGAAAGGTTAGAACCTTGAACCGATTTTTATAGAATTTCGTTTATTTACGAAATTTCATTAAATTTCTATATGTTCGTAAGATGACTAAACCAAAAATACTTATTCTAATATGTGGCTTGGACTCTGGGACATAATTGCATTGAAGAATGGAATAAAAATTATTTTAATTCGTAAACAATCAATTAGTACGATGTTCAAATATCAATTTAGAAAATTGATAAGAAAACTAGTAGATGTTGCCGCAGTTCTAAAGCAAATTTCATTAAAAATGTGTAATTCAATGTCATTTCGATTCAACTAAAAGTTTGGTTGTTATCATTCGTTGAATATACAAATTTAATTTTAGATGGAAGAAAAACTTCTCAATCAAAGTAATATTTTCAGAATATTTAAAAAAAACTTGAATAATGATGCCAATATCAGATTAAAAAACATCACGAGATGTTCACAACATATTAAAATGTCTCTCTCTCTCTCGAAAATAACGTGCGTGTTGTGTTTTGATTGAATTAGATGTCCTTGCCTTTCTGATCCAATGGAATCTTTGAAATCATGCTTAATTAACTCATTTACGTAATAACAACAAATAATAATAAATTTTCTTTTGGTTTATTTTATGAATGAACAGGTACGCTATTGTCACAAAAGTCTTTGCTCCAATTTCTCGATGAGCTACAGTATAAATCGCGTGTAATCTTCGAAAAATATGCGACGGACACATTATCGCCAAGATTCAAAAAGATGTACGCAGTGATATTAGTCTGTATTGTTGCATTCATTCGATATAGTAAATTCAATGGTATATTTGAGGTAAGCAAATTAAATTATAAACAAATCGATTGACCATTTTCAATTAATAAACGAGATAATTACTTAATAGACACCGAAAAAGGTTGCATCGAATACCGGCACTGAAACGGATAATACCTATGTGGTTCGAGTACAAAAGCAAAATGAGGCTGTGTCATCGAAAGACGTCACCAAATTGAATGATTTAACCGAAGAGAAACGATTTAAATGTTGCACCGATTTCGATCCAATTCATTCACGTAGCACTTCCCCGCTCAAATCATGGCGATCAACTGACTCGGAAATATTCCGACAAAATATCGGAATGGTTGTGATTGTATATGGTAGCGCAACATTAGTCTACATTCAATTGATGTTTTTGGCTGCATTCCTACAAACAGCCACAACACCGCCACACTTAGTTTTGGTATTCAGTTTGGCTTACATTACATACATCGTATTCAAGGTATAAATTTTGGGCTTATTTAACTAATAAGTGCATAGCAAATAATTCATTTCAAAAACAACCATTTCAGATGGGTTTTGCAAAAACAAAGACCAAAGATGAGTCGACATCACCAATTAAAAGTACGAAATCCGCATCGACTGCCGAAGATACGGTGGGTGAACTTCCAATTAAACGCAATGGCCGATTAAGCCGATCAAGTACACAACGTTTTCTCTACTTCCACAACAAGACTTTGAGCAAAATTAAATTGCTCTAATTAAGTCATTTCAAACTACATTAAATTACATCACACTTGGGTTACTAAAGCCACCATTCATCATATATTAATATTGAAGCTTATATAAATATTTGCCATTTTGCGAATATTGTTAAGTCCAGACTAAAATACATCACTGAACTAATATAGACACATTTTTTTTATAGGAAAATAAGTACAAAACCATTTCCTCAATAACAAATTGTCAAACACAATAGACGCGACATCACATTTAGATTATCAAAATTACATTCAACAACTGTTGGCATTCAATTTTTAAATAGAATTAATTTTATTTTAAGATTACAACCGAACAGAAGAAATTACTCATTTTATACATGCATATGTGACAGATCATGGAATTTAACAATGATAGACAATATAAATGTGGAACTGCAAGCAATTGACTCCCATTTTATAGTTAATAAAGAAATCTGAAAAATTTCAATATCTTGAAGTTTGAATTTAAATTTAAATTGAGAAAAGAAGTAGTAATTTGTTGCAAACGGGCGACATCTCTGAAGCAATATCTTCATTGGAAATTCGAAATGAACGTAAAAGTTTGTTATTCAAATCTTTGAACAGATGTCTCGTAATACTTGTTTACATATTTTTTTTATCTCGATTTAATTTATTAAAATATAATTCCGGTTTTCGACGTTTTGAAAAAGAAATTAATTTTTGTGAAATTAAATCATTTCTAGAATTGACAATGTAATTACATTGTGAATGGTACGAAGATTGAAATTAATATAATTTATTTTATTGAAATTAATATAATAAGTTACAGAGGTGACTTAAGTCTATGCCGTGAAACTACGTCATATGCGCATCGCCATCATACGTCCTCAAAGGAAAAATGTAAGGGGAGGTAATTGAATCGCGAGGGGTAAGCAAAAAAGTGAAAATCCCTAGCAAATCAAAAGAATTTCTCGCGAAAAACTCTAGCAGTTTCAAAGTTTTTCTTCCATTTCTAAAGTTGTTGAGCAAAAAAAAGATCTTCACTTTTCTGGCCAAAATCCCTAGCAAATTGAAAGAATTCTTTGAAAATGTTCAAGGGGTAACACTTCGTCAGGGGAGGTAATCGGACCCCTGCTGAGGACGTATGATCGCCATAGACTTTTTTCGTCCATAATGCACCTCAGCTGACCCGTTTACATGATTTTCTTTTTTTTTTCAGTGCATTTGAATTTATACGATTTAATTTTGTACTTTGACTATCCTTATTCAATTTTAATCATCTAGATTTTAATAGATTTTAGCACCGATTGTTTTTATTGAAAAATTCTTATTGGGGAGACCAAAATGCATGTAAGAGTTGTTTTATTTAAATTTGTTCCATTATAATATATGCTTTACTAGAAATGTAAACAGATTTGTGCATTGGATTCGAACCATACATATAATAATTTTAATCACGCAATCACTCTTGCATGTCGGTTTTTTTTTCTTTTTTTGTCGTGTTCAATTGATGATGTTGCCGTTCGACACAAGAAGAAATGTGACCTATACTGAATAAAGTTTTATAAATATATCAAATGTGATGCCCATTTCTCTTTCCATAAAATATGTATTTAAAAATATGGGCTATTTAGACGTTGAGAACAGGTGAGTTATGCTTGCACGTAAATGCACTGCAGTGTTTGTGATGAGGATTTTGTTATTGTTGGTGATTTTTTTCCTTTTCAAATTATCCCAACACAATACCAATTCTACCGTATTCGGTCGATTTCAAACCTTTCAAATGTGAAGCTACAATTTTAATGATTTGTGCATTGAGTTCATGAAAATTATAAAAAAAAATATAATGTTGAACTGAATTCCATATATGAAATTATTTTTCACTTTTTCGAAGTTCTTTAGTTTTTTTTTTTAATAGAAGAACAGTAAAAGAATTGAGTTGTCATTGATAGAACTTTAGTACGTTAGATACTTTGAAACTTCGTTTTAATTTCAAAACATTGTGAACGACAATGGAAGACTCACAAAATTATCCATATAAATTAAACAGAAATCGTAAATCGCCGTTTCAAAGTAATTTTTTATTAGTGTTTTTTTTTTTGTTCGTATAAAGTAGTAGTTAAAGCACATCGTAAAATTTCGTTTGTTCAATATATTGTCAACAATAGACAATGCCAATACAAGCCTTCTTAAACCAAATAATTCCAATACTTCATTTGTTTTCTAAATCCATTAATATTCTGTTTGTCAAATAAATTGGTTCGAATCATTTGATGATCATGTATCATGTAGCAATACAAATTAAACCTTTGTAGAACTCAACAAAAATCATGACGAAAAAAAGCATATATCCTTCGTAAGGTGCAGCCAGACTGTCGCACAACACAACCAATTCAGCACGACAAATAGCTAACGTGCCACAAATTCAATACAGCCAATGAAACGAGCAACGTCAACGCGCCAAAATGCAAGTATGCTATAGTCGCAAACAAATCAGCTCTCAAAATGTCGCATATTTGTAGTGGTGGCATGTAAAAAGCATGACACGGTATGGCATCCATTTTTTCTGTACATGTATTTTCCGTTTAACAGGAATATGAATACAAGTATGAGTGTACGAGAGAATATCCTTCCAAGCAGTAACTAAAGTGAAAATATCAATTTAGTCAAAATGTTCAAGTCGATGTGTAGTGTTTGTAGTAAAATTAACTTCTGACCTTTGTTGCAATGTAAACTACTGCAAACAACAATTGTGTACTTCCCCTGTTTCGGGGTAAAAGTGGAGACAAGTTGCGCTAGCCACTGATGTATATATATAAAAAATATATATACTGATTCGGTGTGCTTGTGAATATATTGTATTTGTGAAATAGTTCACATCACATAGCCCGTACACTCCATATGCTTCATAATGTATTTATTATAATATTCACGTAAATGTATGCATGTTAGACAAAAAGCACGACCAAATCGCTCAGCAGTGTGTTCAGCTCGTCTCCTCTGTTGGCCTGCGTGTATTTACACTTAAATACCACTCATTTGCTATGTATCGCACACAAAACGAACGACTAGCAAAACAAATGCCGTGTGTATAAATTTCAGTTGATCAAAGGTTTCTCGCGAAAATGAACGTATCGCTCTATTTATCTATCATCGTATTTTGTCCATCGCCACGAAATAAATAATTAACCGATCGATTTAAAATGAACCAATAAATAATAGTTTTAATTAAAAAAGATTATATGTATACATATAAAAAATAAATAAATATATGTATCTATTGCAAACACAATCCATTATAGACAGCTTGGTTCATTCTAATTACCGGCAAAACGATAACGCAAACATTTAAATCAAGGTGTAAAGTTTATTAAGAAAATTATAACAAAATCGCTGCTTAAAAAACGAAAAATAAGGTCTACGGTCGTACTGATTTTAAACACTTAATGAAAAAGATTGAAATTTATTTTAAATGTATCCAGTGGACTGAATGTGGATATATTATGTGAATGCAGTGTTTGTGTTTTATTCATAAAATCAACAGCAACCCGTGACCATATTTGATTTCGAACCAAAATGTGAATTCAAACAAATAGAGAGAGAAAAAAAATGTGTTTGCTTAGAGTCTCTTCCAATTTAAGTAAATAAGTGAGAACGTATTTACCCAAAATGAAATTTCTGTTTGAATTAAAGTTTGCTGATCCTTCGAAGCTTTATCACAATTATAAAAGTTTTTACACTTTACGTACTTGAATTTGGGGTAATATTTTTACTTCCCGTTATGAATTTTAGCTTAATTAATTGTATTTTTACATTCATTTAATGCATTTTTCGCAATGTGATTTAAAACATAAATATTTTACGATTTTAAAAGAATCTCGACGTACATATTTTGATAATAAAAACAATAGTTAAATTATTTACAACGCCACACCATACATATACTGTGCTGTGATAACTGTCATCTGGTGAAAATTAATGAGTAGAAAAATATATGGTCACATCACCCATACACATTCGGAATATATAGATATGTATAATTCGTCCAGTGATCATACATATATGTGATTTGTGATCATATATGCGATACGGTGGACTGCTAATTGTCAAAAACATCATTCAAATAACAATCCATATGATTATGTGTGCTATAAAAATGCAAATGGTGTCACTGATATGGATATCAATTGGGTGCTTTTAAAATATACACAAAATTTGTTGATGCATTTTCCAGCTTCTTTTATTCAATACTACTTGTATACCTCGGTGTTCATTTGGAAATTTAAATTACGTAGAAAAATATATACAAAATATTTGAAATCAAAGCCAAAACAGATAATTATCGGGGATAAACAATGCCGATGTTTGGATGTTATTTTCAAGGTGTTTCATGATCTTCTAAAATCAACACCAATCAAAAATGCTAATGCGTTTTCAGTTCACGGTAATCGACCTTGGATAACCCTTTGTAATTCGCAGTTAGTTGTCATTTCAAACTTTCTATTGGCTTTGAATGAATGTAAACGCGCGAAAAAACTGTAATCTTTTGACAACCATTTCTTATCACTGTTGTTTGAACAGTTGGAATAATTTGGATATGGAACAAGTTCAGGAATTATGTCGTTGCCATAGTATATACTAACGAAAAAAAAAACAACGAATTCGATCAAAGTAAAAAAAACATGAATTCTACTGTTTTCATATATCATGAATTCGCTTTACATGAACGATATCAATGCATAATATGTGACACTTTTAGTGAGAGGACTTGATTGATAAATGATTTATAGTGTTGGTGTATGGTTTCATACAGAGTTCAAGAAAATGACTGAAAAACATAATTTAAATTCAACCCAAAACAGCTTAATTGTATTTCATCGCAGAGTGGTTCGATATTTTTGGCATTATCGATTTTGGCATCAAACTATTAATTTTCGGCATTGTTTTTAACATCCGTTCAGATTGGAATATGATAAAATACACGGAACATATCTGAAAATGACAAATGAAGCGAAAGAAAAACACTTTTGTTCTATTTTTGTGAAACCTCACAGAGACACATTTGTGCACACTCGGCAATGTGCTCCATACGACTCCATGCATGCATATACTCTGTACATATAACATTGAACGAGAATGAAAATGAGACATATTTTAAAATTTCATGTTTCAATTTTCAAATTTGATTATGGCGCCGGTTCATGATTTTTTTTTACAGATACAATTGTGATTTTTCTACTATAGTAATGTTTTGTGCGGATTTTTTTTTTATGAATTTTTTTCATTATTCGTAGAGTAAATGCATAGATTTTTTAAAAGTAATTGAGACTTTGAGGAAACACCAGGAAATATACGTCGGTTTTTTTTATTGATTGGGCTCAAAGCTGAGTAATGTTTTTCACCGAATAATCCATGTTATGTCCAAGTTTCGCAATTACTTTACATCAATAATATTTGCGACAAAATATGCAAGAAAAACGTTGTATGTATTCATTGGAATTGAAGTCTATCAAAAATTCCAATTTGAAATGTTGTTTCATTGATTTGTTTTTTTTCTTTCAATTAGTTTTATTTAAAAAAAAATGTGTCTGATTTTCATTCTCAATTGGAACTAAACTTTCCATTTTGACAGCAAATATTCAATGAGAAAAGAAAATGAATTAAAAACAACACAATGGTTTTTGTTATTTGATAATTATTTAAGTGACATTGCGAGGTATTAAATATAACCGAAAAAATGTAGGGTCCATCTATCAGATTTGCAAAAATAGCGGTCATTTGTCAACCCTTAAAACACTAGTCAATTATCCAGATCATATATTTTTTTGTTGTTCGTTTATATTGAATATTGTGACGCGCCGCAAACACAATGAATAATGCAAAAAGTATCTTGCCAAAGCAACAGTAAAACTTATTTAGTTGTTTGAATTGGAGACAGGAAACGTAAAAGAAATAAAGCACGCGACAACGCGCAAACATCCAAGTGGGGAAGACAAGAAAATACGAATTAAATGCATTGAAATGTGAAATAGTGAAGAACTTAAGTCGTTGACTGCGTATTATTGATTCTTTTTTTCCCTTATTATTACTGTAAAAGAACAAACACAGCATTCTTTTCGCTATGGTTGTTGTTGTTGTTGTTGTTGTTCTTGTTGTCGTTGGTAGACGAATATAGAGCGTCAGTTTTCAGTGTTCGTTTGGTCATGTGTGTGATTGTTAAAACGGAGGCTTAGTGTATTTGTTGCTTTTCGGAGCCGATTGTTTTCTTTTTAAATATAGTCCTCAACAATTTGAAGTATTTGTTCTTGTGAGCTTGGTATTTAGCACAATTGTGTATTTTATATATGTTTGTTGAATGTGCGTTTGAGTGTATGCTGCACTGTATGCATAAAACTATAATCTGTATGGCAGTAAGGAAGCGAACAAGCGAAAGATGAAAAGAAAACTGCAATATATGCAATGGGACATTGCGTGGAAGGGAGGCGATTGCAGTCAAAATCAAAACAATTGCTGTGCCAAATACGAAAATATGAACGTCTTATTGGAATACAAACAACTGACGTGATGATATAGATAATTATGATGACAATGACGATGATGATGAGTCAAACCTATGAAACCCTCATTTAAAAATGCCATAAATATTAAATTGCATTTGGTATTGTAAAATTTGCTCTATTTTTTTTCTTGCTTTATGCTTTTGTTCGATTTCAATATTATTATTATTTTTGAAAGTGTTGCAATCAACACTTTACTTTATATCATTGCTTACTGCATTCGCTCACATCCCAATTAGTTCATATTAATTCCTAGAAGAGTCACGAATAAAGCGTCATTGTATTCACATTTTATCCACTCTAATTGAATAGCACACTTTTAATGCATATAAATCATAATGTGTGTGTGTGTATGTTTGTCTCTGTGTGTGTCGATGTATATTTTAGTAGTTTTACATACAAAACAAATAAACTACAAATAAAATAGTTCACATGTTAAATTGAAACATAATAGCTCTTTGCTGCATTGGTTTTGTTTCGTTTGGTTTGATTTGATTTTCGTTTTTGTTTATGTATTTTCGTTTCGTTTCCTTTTTTTTGTTGTCAGTTCTTTATCCCAACAACTTTAATTTCCAGGACATATCCTGGTTTATAAAAACTTTGTTACTTCAATTCTTTTATTACTTGTTTAAGTTGTTGTAGTCATCATTCGGTTTCTCTTCTTTTGGTTTCTCTCCGATTTCTATTAAATGTTCCGATAAAAGTGGCGAAATGTGTCAATGGGATGAAGAAAAGACAAAAAAAAACCAGATTAATTTGACATCAGTTCTGTTACAGGTGTCAACAAATCAAATATAATGCATAGAATTCAATGTGTTTCATCAGTCTTTTAATCATATTTAAAATTCAAATTTTTGACGACGAGGTCGAATCTTAATAATTTAACAGGTAGCTATGGTTCTGATTGAATTTAATGCAAGAATGTCAAAAGTTTTACACATCATTTAATATTTATAATGGATGCCCATCCAACATATAACTGGCCATTTGTCACAACACATGTAATGAATGCAGAAATTTGAATGAATATGAAAGGAAAGAAAACAAAATAAAAAAATGAGCAAAAACTATGGATACAAATTTATTGTAACACCATGCCGCACAGAGTGATTGGGTGTGTTTCCTGTTTTTATTGAACAACTGTACTTGTGAAATAACAACAACAAAAAAACACAAGATACGCCAGTGGTTAGATATTGTATTTTCGTCGTTTGTTAAATTGGATTGAGTAAAACAGAAAATCCTTTTTCTTACAAGCCGCCTGTGATATAAATGTTCAAGAGAATATGTGTGCGTATTTGCATGTGTACGTGTAGTGTACAGTTCATAAATGTGTACAGTTTGGAAAGCAACATCATTTCATGTTGTTAATGTATATGTATGTGAGTTTGTCTTTGTGATTCGTTATAAACTTAAAGCTCTATTGGATTTGACGAAAACAGAAAAAAAACAATTTCAAAGCCGGAGCAAGTTTTTATATGTATGCTATTTATTTCTTCCACTTTTTTTAGTTATTTGAACTATTCTCCATTGGAATTGCAATCAATAACAAACACATGTGCTCGTGTTCCCACCTCGATCTGCAGGAATGTATAGAGTGTATATAAGTGATTGCTTGTTTATATTTTCCGCACACTTACTAAATGCATGGGTAAATCAATTTTACTGCATTTTGCTTCGTATTGTGCAATAATTTTACATTTAGTTATATGAATTGAAATATGAATAACAACATTATTTAAATTGAAAAAAAAAAAAATGTTGTTCAGGATAAAATAAGCGTGTAATTGATTTTGAGGATCAAATCATACACACAGTGTAAATGGCATCTACGATTTTTTCCCATTTATAACAAATTTTACCACTATTTTAATGTCATCACAGAATTTGCTTTGAAAATATAGAATAACGTATGTTTAAACAACGATTAACCGCAACGCGACAATTAATCCATGTCAGTTTAAAAAAATTTAACGCATTCAACAGATACATAGAAACAGAGAGACATTTCAGATAGATCTTTATGAGCTTTTTTTATATCTTTTTGGACAAAATTCGCTGAAAAATAAGAAAAATCCGTTGAGATTATAAAACCTGAATTGAAGAATCTGCATGTTTTTGCAAGGCATTTAAAGCTTATAAAATATGGCGAATTCTCCATTCCGTGGCAACATTTTATCAAAACATCATAATATTCACAGAACACACATGAGATTTAATAGATGTTGGTTCGTTCGGCATAGGTTTACACTCTGAACTCTCGAGGTAAAGCCAAACTATTCTAATCTTTTATCTAAATTTTTAATCATAAAAGAGAGAGAAAAAAAGGTTCGTGTACAAGAACTAATCGCTATGTTTGTTATTCTTATTCAAAGCAGTTGAAAATGACAGACCTCAAAAACCGTATAACGTATTTTTTTTTTTTAAAGTGTATCAAGCTTGTCTGCTATTTTTCCCCCCGAATATATAGGACAGTGGGATTTAAATCTATGCGTTTCTTTGCAAACCAGATTATTTTTTTATTATTTTCATACTTTTATACAAACAAAGATACAGTGCAAAGCTGAATATCTCCTAGGTCATGAATTGTGTTTGAATAAAAGAAAATGTAAGTTTACTCAGCTTTACACATTCAGAAATACACCCAAAATGTCAGTCATCTATCTTTAACACGCTTAAATTCTTTATTTGGCCAAAAATCATTTATTTATATAGTTTTAAAGTTTTATTTATTTGAAGTTAGGGTGAAATAGCCGAAAAAAAACCGACTTTTTAATTATATTTTATCGTGGCAGTTTTGAGCTGAAGTCCTCGTTCTGAGCAGGCTTAAAATATATGCTAAAATTTCGAATTCAATCGATATATATATATACAGCCAGTATTTAAATTTGATGAAAGATAAAATAAATATTTTATCAAATTGAATAAAAATGTCTTTAAACTACGTGTCAAATTTCTGTCAGTTAAAATTGTATATTCTTTTTATCAGATGAAAAGTGCGCAGTGAAAATGCTGTACTTAATGTGTTGGGCGAAAATGAAAAATCGACTCAAATAGTTTTGCGTGCGAACGTTGAAATTGGAAAGAGTAACGAAGGAAAAAGAGAAAAAAAAACGCTCACTTTTGTTTGGATTTGTATACAATGGCCATTATGTTAAATAACAGTTAATCACAAGGCACACAGCACGACGCACAAAAGAATAATAATTGGAGCAATGGTAAAGGTATGAAGAAAAACAAAGCTGACGATTGGGCGACAGCAAACACAAAACTAACGTTAATTGTGTTATGCAGAGCACAAGGTGGTCAAACACTTCAACTCGAACCGAATTTTGATGTAGTTTTTCCCAAAAAAAAAAACATGGCAATGATTCGTCAATCATCACCATTCGAATGGTGAACAAAAAATAAAATGGCAAAGGGAAAAAGTTGGGTGCAGATTATGCATAATATGACAAATTACATATTACAATTACGACTTCTTGTTAATTTAGCGTTTCCAATGGCAGTTTTTTCCAGAATTTTTTTTTTGTATCGATAGAACACCAACACCACACACGCACTGTAATCGATGATCGACGAGACAGTATACCCTTTCAAAATAGAATTTTTTGAAACAAACACAAAATCTCATTATAATACACCGAAAATTATCCGAATGGAATCTTGAAAACGGAGACTTTTAGTACGATTTCAGTTTTCATCATTGGTTTCACTCTTACAATGCTCATTAACTCACATTTCATTTCTATTTAGTACATACGTCCGTTACGTTCTTTTTTTTTTGATTGGGTCATGTTGACTATTGACAGAATAAATTAGCTCTATTAATTGTGAACAAGTTGTTTAGAGAATAAATTTTCAGAATTTCCCCCTCAACACATTCACTTTTGTTATCATATCGAATTTTAATTGCAACGTGTGGTGGTATTTTCTATGTGAACATTTTGTACACTACCCTTAAATGAGAGAGCAAAAAAAAAACAGTTTGCGCATATATCTAAAATATTTAATGCTTCTTGGTCGGCAATAATATTGGCTTCGAGTTTTTTTTTTTTTGGGCAAAACAAATAAAACTAACAAAATTGTGTAAAAATGTGAACTGGGACATTCATTTAGACAAAATGCTTTTCGGTTGTACATGCAAAGAATTAGTTTACTGATGATGGTCATTCACCATAAATCGGAAATCGTGCATATCTTGAACACGAATCGCGCGAATGCATTTCTTGTCATATGAAAAAAACAGACCCTTGTGACATTGAACGGAATGTGTATCACGATTTCAACTGATAATTATTAAAGTTTTTTTTTTCTATTCGAATGGTGTTCTTTCATTTAAGACCGATTCCTATTATATGTCAAGGCTTGTCGCCGAACAACAACATTTGAAAGTTCTGAAAGCCGTTAATATATTGCACACCTTATAAAATATGACACGACCAATGTCTTTCACATTCGAGCCTTTCTATAAATAAAGTATTTCACCAATGGCTATATGTTATTCTTCACAGGCACTATGATAACACTGAATTAAATTGCAGATTAAAAATAATGGAGAAATCTTCACTCATTCACTCGTGTACAAACGCTGAAGTGTGATTAATTACCGCGATTATTGTGTTGAACATTTTACTAGATTATGATCAGTATACTGAGTTTGAAATTTTCGCTTCTTTACCGTTTCATTTTGCATTTTGCTTGTGAAATTTTCTGTTATGAATAAGTGAGAACAAATGGAAAAAATGAAATGTCAATTGTCATCGATTACGATTCGTTTGTTATATAATTTTTATTCGTTGCAAAAATGCCGCTTCACATAAACGTTTTGTCAAAATCAAATAGAAAACAATTAAACTCGGATATAGAGGAGTATCAATAATAGATTTGACGAATTCTCTCAAACCATATACCACAAAATCAATGAGTGGACGATAAATGTCGGTTTATGATTAATTTGGCAAAACGGTTTGCCTATGATTTCTCATGGACGAATAATCAAAACATTGGATTCGGGTTGAATTTCAGGTGAATTACATTGATAATTAAATTTGTGCCAAAATCAATGGTTTTACTGAAACCACAGAGCAAAACCATATCAAAGAACAAATCATTCAAATTCAATGCATCATTTTGATTGCCAAATCATTTAAACAATTTAGCCAGACTGGAGCATATGAAAGTCAAGGTGTATTCGAAATTGCATTATAGAAGGTCTCAAAAGGTTTTACTGACACAGTCGCCCATCGTTTTATATTGGTGTTCATTCTTCACACTGTATGCTAACATAACATAACATAACGAATTCATATATACAATCAATTCGAATATTGCGTCTGCGATTTTCAATGGGCCAATAACGTCCGGAAAATAATATGTAGACTATGCAGCCATTACAAATTGCCGTGCATTATTTTTAGAACAGTAAATGTGAATCGTTATCCAAATTACATTCACACAGTGGTAGGTTAGTCTGAATACCGGTTGTTTTACACATACATAGTTTTACATCGGCTCTTCCCTTTGCTCATAATAAAAAAGAATTCTCGAATTAGTTTTTCACTACTTTTTTATATTCGAAATTCAAACCATTTTTTTTTGGCTGATGAAAACAATTGAATGAAGAAAACGTATTCAATAAGATCATTCCAGTCACATTGAACGCAAAGTCTGTAATATTGAAAATGGATTTAAACAAAGTGATTCGACGTGAATCCATTTATCAACAATTTTAATTGATCCATCAATTCTTCTTACACCCCTTTCGATTTGCATTTTAAAAAAGAAACGTGTTTCAAATGCCAGTTGCAAACAGCCAGACTCTTCTTCGTAACCTACAAAAATATAATGATTACATAAACTTCAACTTATATAAATTGATATTATTATCCATTTTTCATGTAGTAATTTAACATTATTAGCCACTCTTTGAAGGTTATTTACATTCTTTCCTTTCTTTCAGATATTACCGTTCCACTTAAATATGGGAGTGCATAAATATTCATCATTCTTTTCGACTACTTTTGGGTAAAATCGGACCAAACACAAATACCAAACTAATTCAACATCTAAAATACTGGAAACTACGCCTTATTAAATGACCTAATTAGCATTGGCACATATCATTTTCGCAATATTACCCTGAGATACGGATAAGAAAAGATGAATAAGTTTCGAAAAGTGTAAATAAATAATAATAATAATAATATTCTCCGCTAAATATACGATGATCAATACCGCTAATTAGACAATTATCATGTTTGCATCAAATCAAGCTTTTTGTCAGTGCATTTAATATATATATATATATATATATATAACGACTACATTTTATGAATAGAAGCAATCAAATATTGACCAAGAGGTGGCAACAATAGTTAGAAATATTGATTGACATTTTTTAAGTAATGTCGAAAGAGTTCCAACACCTTACCCAATGACTAATAACAATTTCTAAAAATGCAGACCTTTGACAATGAAGGAATTCAAACGCATCATATCAAACCACGCGTGCATTTAATTCAATTCAATATATAGGTACTAAATCTATTTAATCTGTACTGACTATAGCGTCGAATAAAACAAATTCGCATACATTCGAGAAAATTGGGAGGAATCTTTGTCATGTTAAATGTTACTGAAAATTCAAATGAATAGCAATTTACAGAAGAATTGAAAAAAAAAAAAAACAATTGAAATGCATTTTTGACTCATTCGTTCTGGAGAATTCCAAGCGAATTTGTAGACTAAACGAAATTCCTCACAATACACGAGTACACGAAAGTACATTTGTTCAGTGAGTGAAATGTTATGCACTTTGTTGTTCATTTCGGTCTCAAATGAATCGAGAAAAACTCTATACAAAATTAAAATTCACTTTATTTACAATTACAGAAATTCGACTTTGTCAATAGCGCAAAAATGTCTGCATTCCCTTCCTGAATATTTAATACATAGTGTTAATAAAATGAATGAAAAAATCAACAATAGCCGAACATCGAAATTCTAAACAACTAATAAATAAAAAGCATAAAACTTATTGTGAAGTAATGAAACGCGTCTCAAGCATAAATTGTGCATTGGGTAGTGATTTATTTTTACGTTTATTCATCGATAATTAGTGGCGATATTCGTTGAAAAACGTTGACGTCGCTTCAAAGCAAAAAATATATATCCTCACATCGAAATCCTCACGCGAGTGATACGTTTTTGAGCCGAACCACGAAACGCAAAATAGTAGCAAAAATGCCCGTGCGTCGAGGACACGTAGCACCACGTACAACCTTAATTGAAACCATAATTAGGAAATTCGATACAGACAGTAAGTAACCAGTCAAATAATGTAGTAAACCGAATGGAATATTTTGAAAGTCAAGCAACTTGACACATTTGCAATTCATCACATTAAATTAAATTGCGGCGTGTTTGCATCGAAGTTTTTTTATTGTTGTTGTTGTTCGATATTCAATTTTGAAAATTGAGAAATCATTGGCTTTCATCAACTTATTTCTATTGTCAGGCCACAACAACTCTAACTTTTTCAACATATTTTTTTGTTCTTCTATTTTTTCGTAAACAAAAATTGTGATAGTCGTTTTGTTCATGGTGTCCGTTTCTATGCCATACGCTTACCGATTCTATACCGTCGCTTTTATGTTTATATGAGCAAACAGTACATATTTACTATTGTTATAAAATTGATACGTGCCGTATGTCTCCAGGCTGTCTATGTACAATTGTACATGCATAATTTCTACCGCGTTTGTTAAATATTTTGACTGATTGTTCAATTTGAATCTTCAAAAAGATTGTGCAGTATATCCATTGGTGAGACGGAAAATAAAGCATGTTTCAGTCATTGACTATATTCTATGGTAAAATTTCAACAATTTTATCGATGTCGATGAAATGTTCCGTGTCCATTATTTCGAAGCAGTTATGTACAATTCAACGATAAAAAAAATAATGAAACATACTTTACTTTACGTCTCAGCCATAGAAGAATTTAACATACTATCGATATTGAAGTTTTCTTTTATACTGCATTTAACCGATTTGCATTCATGATTCACAAGATTGTTTTTCATTCAATTGCCAAAAAGTTATTCTATTTTCAGTTGTAATTTGATAAATGAGAGTCGATATTTAGCATGTGATTATGAATCACATAAATTTCATTTAAAACGATTATCCAGGCTACACTGATTTCTGTTTGAATAGTCAAAGAATGAATTGTCGAAAAGATGACGTCCCAAATTCAACATTATAAGAATTATATTAATAATGATTACTCATTCTAAAAGTTCATCCAAGATGTATTTTATAAAAGCGTATTCAATGCGGATGATCTTTTAAAATCAATAATATTAATAGTTTTCTTCCACGGCATTTGGAAAACTGACATTACGTCGCTCATGAAAATCATTAATCTTGACCATTCAGTCGATTAATTTCCGCCAAAATTAGATGCGAATCGTTCAAATGGTTGGACACATTCTTCGGGGAATCATTTAGAATGAAAACTCTTTTATTTACATATAGCGGTACGTATAGCATAATAAAATGAAACACAATTTTCAATTTTTCAACAAGAACAACAAATAAGTCAATGTCTTTCATTTTGATTTCTGTAATTATATGAAATTAAAATAAATTCAAATGTACAAATCAAAAATGTTTCACAACAAAAGCGAAGCACAAGAACTCTGTAAATATATCTTTTCTTTTTTACATTTATTATAATATCAATAACATACGAAAATTATTCGGGCCGCTGAGTTTTCGTATACCATAATTCAGTCAAATAATATGATACATACGAAAGAAAAAAAAGTCAAAATATAACCAATTGGCTTAATTGTTTTAATCTAAAGCATAAAACTTATTTTATCCGTCTTCCTTTTTCTTTCGTTCAACTGGATCTATGCATCCAACAGCACAAAGAACCTTGAATATACATTTCTGAATGTGGCCTTTTACTGTATTAAAGTAAACAAAACTTGCGAAATTGTTGTAGGACAAAAGACGTGTGAAAACAAAAGGAAAATATATCAGACAAAAAATCGCTTTGTCATGCAATCGAATGTTTCTATGCTTCGAATATGATCGACACAAATTACATTGCAATGGAAAAATTAAACATTGTGTAAATAATGTGCTATGTGACTTGCCATACATTCTATTTAATTTCTCCTGATTGTTGTTCATGTTGATCAATGCGTCATTTGAAAAAGAAATAAACTATTTTTAGTTTGACTGGTATAGTTTCAAAATTCCAAAATTACCACGGACAGTTTGCAAAGTACTTTACTCCGATAACTTCATTATGCCATGCCGTTCACTAAATTTATACAATTTCCAGAGAGATTTATAACTATTTATTTGCAAAACCCATCGATAGTTAATCGCATTTGATTCTGTGAACAACTTTAAATGCCACAAACATTTGGTCAATGGCCATTCCATAGGCATTCATATTATATCACAATTAATTTTTGAATTGAATGGGTAAGAATAATCATGAGCTCCAAACATTATTTAAAAAAATACTGATA